TGTAAAAGACTCCTGAGGTTACCATTGACAGCAAAGAAAACAAATATCTCAATTCTTGACATCATCAAGCCTGAGATGTTTCTTGTGGCCATGCTTCTAAAGCAGAAATTGGACTTTTTTTGGTCATGTGATGCATGCCCATGATGGACTAGAAAGAAAAATCATGCTTGGGAAGACAGAGGGAAGATGCAGGAAAGGTCGACAAAGAATCAGGTGAATAGACCAGATAAAGCAGGTCACTGGTATGTCCTTGCATGAACTAACATTATTGAGAATAGAACACTTTGGAGACACCTTATCCATCAGATCACCAGGAGTTGGCACCAACTTGATGGCACTTAACAACAACATTGGGGAATGGAGGCTATTCAATTTTAGTGGTTAAAGGTCAAGGCAGTGGGGAGATAAAAGGGTTTGTGTGTTATATCTCAAGTTGGACTTACGATTTTACTTGTCATTAGCATTTACAGTTTTTTTTTAATAAAATGCGTCTCTACCCTGAAAATTTTTTCCATTTTATAATAATTAATAATATAAAAAGTTTTTAAATAAAAATTTCATAACAGATTGTGCCACACAGAATTTTAAATTCTTTTGCTGGGAAAGTTATGCAACTCATTGCTAAATTTTTTGCACATGTAGTCAAGACTTATTTACTGTTCTTTTATATTAAAAGACAGTATAAACCATGATCAAACACTGTATCTTTATTTTAACATTCCAACAAATAATAAAGATGCTTACTTTATTCACTGACAGTTGCAGATCATTTTTAAAACAAATTTCAACCAGCTGAAATATTTTTTTTACTTAATATTAGTTTTACAATTTTATTTTAAAAAACAATATTTTAATTGTTTATTTGAGAATGTTATAAAATTTGACATGGGAATGTGCCATGAAATGTCTGGGCTAGACTGACAAAAGGGCTCAGACTTTGAAATAACATGACTTTCAGTTTGCATCAGTTCTTATACGTATCAGGGCCTCCTGTACCTAAGGTTTCATATCTGGTTTCGTCTTTCATCTATCTAACTTCATTCTCAAGATTAAGGAAAGACAGATAGATGGATGGATGACAGCGCATATAAGTCCCTAGTATAACATAATGCGAATTGCCTTATTTAAATTTTAAAACAATTTGCAATTTTAAAAACACTGTGTTAGGAAAATTTATGAATTTGACTAAACAATGTGTAATACTCTCTTAATATCTAAACTTTCACCTTTAAGCTGGTAATTTTATTTATAATTGTCACAAAACATTTTTCAGGCCTGTTTATGAACCCTCATCAGAGGTAGTGTTCCATACTTAGGACCAATAAACTTTTTTTGATGGTTATAAATAAAATTTCCAGCTTAAAGGTGAAAGTTTAAATACTATATATTGAGCTGGACAAGAATGAATAAACACTCTTAACAGTTTGATATTGAAAAATGTTTAAGATATTTTAACTCTGGATTTCTCCTGATTACTTTTTACACCATGAAATTATGGGCAAGTATTAATAACAAAATGTGAAAATAAAAAAATAATGTGCATAAAGTTACAAATAAATCTGCTTTAAATGGTATCATTTATCATTTTTCAGTTGTCATTTAAATGATGATTTTGATTGTCATATCAAAAAAAAAAAAAAGGTTTATTTTCAATTAAGTTTACTCCCAGTTTATTAATATTTTTTGCAAATCTAGAAAATTTTTAAGGGAAAAATTTAATACATTTATACTTTGTAATGAATTACAGGATTTATTCATGAATAATAAATTTCAAAAGAACTGTTTTTTTACTTCTTTATGAAGTCAGTTTTACACCAAATCATTGTTATTTAATAAAATTTCTTATTTTAGATTTAGTTACTAGTCTGGTAATGCTAAAATTATAATTTTTGATTAACAATGTCAATTAATTGACCTATAAATTTGCGCTGTCATCCATCCATCTATCCATCTTTCCTTAATTTTGAGAATGAAGTTAGGTAGATGAAAGATGAAACCAGGTATGGAACCTTAGGTATAGGAGGCCCTGATTAACTATATAAGAACTGATGCAAACTGAAAGTCATGTTATTTCAATTCAAAAATTTTCCCCTGAAAGGTGTTAGATAGATAAATGGCATGAATCTATTGTTAAAGGAAAAGTATGATGTATAGTAGCAAGCCACTACTAATTTGAAGTGGAGAGCATATATTTTAAGTTAAATAAATTTAAATTATGATTAAAAATTGAAGTCTGGCATTGTAACAATATCACAATAAATAATTGTAATAAGAGATGACACCTAACATCTATCTCTAGTATCAAATTACTCAGAATTTAATTATTAATAGTAGCAGTAAAGTAGTCCAATTTAATACAGCAATTGTTTGGCTTATGATTAAACATTGGGCTTTGAGATGTTTATATATGTTGTATACATAATCTTTTAAATGTATATTCAAGTACCTGGTGATCCATGTTTACTTGGGTACAAAAATGGGTACTCAACATTCAGCACTAGGTATCAGGGCATCTTACAACCAAATTTTTACTCTTTTCACTCCACATACTGCTGTTATGAAAATGGAAAATTTCATGGAAAATTAGAAGATTGGTTATGGATATAAGAAGTCAACGAAAATAACGAAATAAACCATACGGAAAAGCCTATTAGAATCTTGTTTATTTGCATGTTATTAAATTTTATTTCATATACATTACACATAAATAAAAAATGAATTATAGGAACATAAATTTCATTTGAAAAACAAAAAAAACATAAAGAATTAATGAAAGTAAAAATTGGGCAGAATATGTAATGTGAGTTATACATCAGATTTTATTCACTGTCACTTTCTGACAATAAATGCATACATTTGTGCAGGATTGCAATATCTTTGCCATTACTAAAAATGCTTTGGTTATCATGTTCTTCATCCACAGGTGAAGTACTTTCTGTGATCTCCTGAACAATGTTAGCAGTAATGTCTTGCGGTACTGATGTTACAGTGGTTTTATGGATGAATTCAGTTATTAATGGCTGGGTTTTTATGTAATTCTCTATAAGATGACATTAACGATTTTAGATCACATAGAAACTTTAAAGCTCATTCCTCATTAGGATCATACTTGACAAAATGATCACCCAATTAGTTTGCAAGACCTTCTTTAACTCTTTGCTACATGCTGTTGCAGTTCTGCAACATTAATTTTTTTGTAGTTTGTTTTACAAAGTAAGTTTTAAATTTTGCAATAATTCTTTGATCTAGTGGTTGAATCAAGGATTTGGTATTAGATGTGGCAGCAGAAAACAAAATTGCACATTTGGTATTCCAAGACTGGATGGTCGGCATTGTCTAGAATCAATAGAACTTTAAATTCTAGACCTTTGGCATTCATATATCACCTCTGGGACGAAACATTTGTTGAACCATTCAGTAAAGATTTAGTGGTAACCCAGCCCTTATTATTTGTCATCCAGTGAACTGGCATTCAAATCTGCTCCTTATATTAAACATGGTCTTTGGGTTCAATTAACAAGTAGAGGCTTCAATATATGATCTCCCGAAGCATTAGAGCAAAACATCAAGGTGACACGATCTTTAGCTGCTTTGAAACCTCCAGCATTTTTCTGCAATTTTGCTACGTAGGTTCTATTGGCATTCTTTTCCAAACAAGACCACTTTCATCAACATTCCAAACTCAATCAGGAATTTTTTTGTAAATTCTTTGGCAGCTGTTTCATCTGCAGATGCAGTTTCTTCTTTTATTTTAATGTTGTGAAGTGCATATCTTTTGAAGACCCTGGCATCCAATTTGTACTTGCAGAAAATTTATACACCTTATTCAACTCAGATAAAGTGTCAAAGTGAATTAATATAAATTCTTAGTGCTGTTTGTTTGATAACATTTCCATCTATTAGTACACTTTTTTGTGACATTTCTTCTGTCTGTATTATCAAGGCTTTTTCCATTTTCTCCTTTGTCTAAGATGATGACTTGGTATTTAATTTTGTTCCAGAATGTACTGACTTCTTAATAGCAGCATCATTACCTCTAATAGTTCTTAAGGTGGTTTCAGGTAAACCAAAATGCCTACAGATGTTGCTCTTTTTCTGGTTGCATTTTGGATACCAAAATTTCAATTTTAGTATCCAAAGAAATTGCTTTCCGCTTTTTTTTTTTTTGGTAGTTGGATTATTTAACAGTGTATGAGGGCTACAGAAAAATATTTCAGATTTAATTAACAAAACAGAGATTCGAAAATATACATGCAATGTATAACTATCATCTATTAAATTTTGACAAAATTAATAAATAGAATCTTGCTTTCTCTTTCCATGTGCCATATCAGGTCACCCTGATGGTGAACACCTGGCGCAGGTTAGTATGGATTAATTGGCATGCCAAGTGATGTCCTGGGGGAAGTTAGTACCAGAATGGTTCCCCATTGCCTTCTCTGGATATGCAATGTTACATGGGAGAGAAATAACTTCCGGGAGGTCTTTTAATAGTAACTGGTTCCTATTCAGGCAGTACAGATGTGGAGAAAACCTGGAAAACTCTACGTGGCCAGCCCATCTGGGCAAGGTGCAAACCCATGACCAAACTCCCAGTGTTTAGGGGCAGAACTTGCTTTAAGTTTTATTAAATTTTCTTTAACACCAACATCAAAGTACTGTATTTTCCCTTTTAAAACAAAACCTTTGTGGACCTCATACTGTCAGATTGGTCCATTTTTTATATGCAAACTGTTTAATTTTTTTAAAAAATGTGTTTCATGAAAAATTTGTTAATTCATATAAAACCTTTTACATATTTCATTAAAACAACTTGTGTAAAAAGAAAATTATTTTTTTAAATTGTGTTAAATCAAAATAGTTTAAAAAAGTTCATGTAAAAACAGAATTAGGTGTATATATTTATATATTTTGCTTTTAAATTAATTTAATATTTTATAAGTAAAATTTAATATAAAATATTTATTAAATCGTTGGATTAATTATATTTTTTCTTTCAGCTATCAAAATGTGACTCTTGTGATTGCCAAGGCCCTAATCTTTGGTTATGTTTACATCGTGACTGCTTGTATGTGGGATGTGGAGAATTGCATGATGATCATAGCACTAAGCATTTTCAGGTAAGGATAATGTTCTTAAAATTGTTTAAGATAAATTTTTAAAGTTAATATACAAAATTTATTTTTTTTTGCTTACAATGCATATATTAAATTTTTTATTCTAACCATTAGCATCAAATCATATGACTTTCAAACTCAAACTTTGTTGCAGACCTCTTTACTATATGATCCGCTCACTTTGATTAACTCCATAAAACAAAAAGTATAAAAATTGATAATATGAATTATTTTTTAAAATTCTTTTTAAAGATTAAATTTAAATAAACATTGTAGAATATATCTTTATATACCATTATATTAAAGCATAGCTTTAATGTAACTATATATAAAATTAGTTATGTGAAAAACGTAAAAATAATAACATTTATATTAAGGATTTACAAATGGAGTTAGTTGATTTGGCCTGTGAATGGCTCATATATAACTCTTGTTTGAGGTGTTTCAGTTTCGTGTCACACTTGATTTCTTACTATTTTCAGAGGCAAACAAATGCCGAATATAAACACCTGTTTGATGAGTTAATTCAAATGGCAAATATAAAATAATCTAGAGGCATATTTGAATATTTTGAAGAAAATTTGTGTGAACCGAGGGGGTTAGAGCGGCGAGCTTCTCCCCACTTATCGGCTTCATTGTCAGGGATGGCCTTGTTAACTGAGTGGGGAGGGGTAGTGTGTCCGTGATGAGGTGTCGATCGTATTCAAAGATGACACAATATTAAAATTAAGAATAACATATTTAATATAAAACAAATGATACAAATACATGCAAGTGCATTCTAAATTCCAACAAGAAGAAAGTAATAACGATAATAATATTTCCGTGTTGCGACAACAATAGACGGCTGATGTCTGTCTTTCCCATTGGTGGGACCACCAAAGGTCCTCAATCTGATAACCTTTTAAGTTCTAACCTAAACCCTAAAAAGAAATGATATAATTTTAAGTCTAAACTAAACTGAGATAGAAGTGAATTATTTCTAAGTGTTTACCTCATTTGGAGCGGCGATCAGAAGCTGCGAAGTTTCCAAACGCAGAGAAGGCTTGAGGAGTCCAATCCTTGGTTTCTTTCCGACGATAGCCTGGAGGTGCGGGAGTGATCCCCTTTATACCCGATTTAATGTGGGAAAAATCTGGGACTTTGCTGATGTACTTGTCTTTGCAGCGGGTGTTGTTTACTTGAATTTGACAGTTCTCCATATTTATCATCGTCTCCCCCATCATGAGTGACGTTATATAGACATCTCTTGACCAATTAGTATTAAATTCGTCATCACCTGGGGAGATGACTGGCCATCCTCAGTAACGTGATATGGTTACTCACCATACAGTCTACCCTTGTCAGTGACCTTTTTGTTCACCCTCTATACAGTAACATGTGTCTGTAGTTGCTAACTTGCACACCACAGATATCTTAGCATCGAGCGATCCCCTGGGGAAAGGAGAGTTCTTCCGCGGTCGACTAGGACGACTTGCCCGTTTAGGAGGGGAATAGACCTTTTGACCCTGCTACGTACTGCGTCGTTTCAAAGGTCTATTCCCCGGGCAAAGGGGAGAAAACGGGAGAAATAAGGAAAATAATGATGAAAGAAAATTCTATATGACTTTTATTATTTAAAATTCTCTTAAGTGAGTCTGATTTCTCACATTTGTATGTTTCTCTTCTTTTACAAATTCATTTGTATATTTTTACTACAGGTGTTTAAATTTGTGGTCTTTTATATATATTTGAATTTGACTTAATACATACATCTGTGAAGGACATTTTCAGTTACATTCTTATAGATTCTTTATATATCAACTTCCCAAAATCCGATGTATTGATACTAAGCCAAATGGTTGCCATAATTAATTGGGCTATAAATATTCTATAATTAATAATTAGGAATTAAGGTATTAGAGGTAGACATTATGTGTCATCTCTTAAGAGATGGCACATAATTAATAGCCCTATTAATTAAGGCAATTGTTTGGTTTGGTAGTTTCTTTAGTTGAAAGATTATGGAAACCAGTTGTAAATTCTAATTTTCATTTATCAATTTTCATTTGTTCAATATACTTGAATACAATTTATCCATCTATTTTTTACATTTGATATTCTTAAAAAAATCAAGTGAAAGTAAACATAAAATAAACCATAACTTGCTTTTTACTTTAGAATTAAGCTAATTATTTATTAATTAAATTTTGGAATTTAACTTAAAGGTAGACAATTTAGCCATCTTTATAAAGTAAAATTAGCCACTGTAGTTAACTTAATGAAGTAAACAATAAATCTTTAACAGTGGTTAACTTGGAGAAATTCTAATGCTAAAGTTAAAATGCTATATTTAGGCATGAACAAATGTAAGAAGAGTCCTCTTGTTTGTTTATGTCTGTAGATACCAATTTCATTCAGCCATTATCTTGTTCTGAGATTAAAAATTAGAAATTAATTTTGAATGTTGAGTAATTTGGAAAATTTTAAAAGAAAGATTGGGTTATCTTTTCATCTGATATCTGTAGTTTTAGATCAAATCCTATAAGTTAATTAATTATCTGTTAGCTTAATTATAGTGTGAAAATAACCTAATTTTTATAAAACAGTAAAATATAAAAAAATTAAATTTGAAGCAAGATTTTATGATAATTGAATGCTGATTCATTAAACAAATAAGTTTTAATATATATGTAATAATTGTGGATCAAAGTCTGAATTTATTACCAAGTATAAGTCTTAACCATTGGTCTTTTTCAAGCTAAGTTAAGGATAATTTTAATGAATTAATGCCAAAATTTAGCTTTAAAGTAAATGGTGATGATATTATCTTACATAAATAATAATTAATTTTGAATTTCATTAAACAAATTAGAAAATTTTAGAAGAAATGATTGACTTGGAATTGGACTTAATATATGTCCAGAAGTGGTGAATGGATCTCCAGTTAAATTTTACTTCCAGATATATAATAATTTAGATATACTAGATATCAATATTGGTTAACTATTGATATTTCAATAAACAATAATTAGTTGATATCATTATGTAGTAAGTCTAAAATAATATGTCTGTACAGTAATAATGACCAATGTACTATACCTATCTATGATGGGATTAATTTTTTCCAGATTTTGTAAGTTATTGAATTAAATTCAAAATCAAATTTTTTAATTGCTAATGTTTACACAAAATCATGCATACTGCTTGCTTTTAAGCCAAATTTTAATATTGAAATTTTATATTAAAACCTAAAATAATTATATTTATGATTATAAATCATGTATGCACACGAAGAAATTAACTAATAATAAGAAAAACAGTGAAAAAAAAATGCTGGTTTTGTTAGAAAGCAACAAAAATAATATACTTTGTTGCAGATAAAAATATATACTTTGTTAGGATCACGAACGTAAATACTTCTTATTCATAACATTTCAAGTACTTTTAGAAAATAATTTTGGTATTTTTTGTAAAATGTTTCCTTGAAAATGGACTTAATAAGTCGCTGAAAGTACTTAAAAAGTTATTGTTTTTTATCCCAATAAAATAGATTTTTTTTATGATATGGAAATTTTTTTCAATAGAAATTAGTCTGACCAATCCAGGAAGGTACTCCCTTTAGACATTGGCCTACTTTACTAATCATTCACAGGAGTGAGGTATAGCATGAGTCAGCTGGCATCTGGTTGACATACCTTAGAGGTAGAGAGGTTAAACCAAAGTGTGTATTTGATAATTGGTGAAATCCTATTGTTCATTTGATCGCTTGATGATATCAGCGTCCCTAGTAATGGTTGTGTAGATACTTGTTCATTACCTGGTTACAACAACCATTATTAGCATGGTTTATTTATTTATTTTTCTTTTAAATTGATAACATCTTAATGAGGATAATGTTTGCAGTCTATATAATAATGTCTTTAACATTAGGAAATTGATTACATCACTTCCTGAAAGAAAAAAGAAAGGCATATATGGATAGCAAAGTTAAAATTTTATTTCATTTAATAATTAAACTTACATACATTCATTTAATATAATTATAACACAAGTGCACAATACAATTAATAAAAATTATAAATGAATAAAATTATGGAATGCAGGTTTATTAAACAATATAAGATTTTTCGATGCTGTTACTCAAAGTTCAAATCTGTAAGAAACATATATCGTTGGAAAGAAAAATTTAAAAGAAATCAGAAAAACCCAATGTGGACACCTTACCTAGGCCTGGAAGCCCTTATAGGAAATGTAATCTGGACTTAGTCCTCTAATAACTTTTATTTATATTAATCTTCATTTTTATTTTTAATTGTTAATTTTAATTTTTTCTCTCTGTGATACTGTTCTCTTTNGCGTGTACGCCTGTGTGTGGAGCAAGATTTTGTTCACCCTGTTTGAAGCTTAATAACTCCTGTGCTTTTTGTCGAAAATTTCTGAAATTTTGCAGCAAGGTTTCTGTAATAGTTGGATTAATGCTGTTAAATTTTAATGGTAAAGGTCGATGGATGGGGAGATAATGAAGGTCGTGTTTATCTCCAGTAAGGTCAGACTTAATGACGATTTTACTCATCTCTACCTTCAAAATTAAGTGTTTTTGGTATTTTATAATAGTTAAAAATATAAAAAGTTTTTAAATAAAATATGATAACAGATGGCGTTACCGAATATTGCCGGGAAATTAAACAACTCGTTGCTGGATTTTTTTTAATATAAAAGACTAAATTCTGATAGACTTTCTGTGTCCGGACCTTTGCCAAATGTCTCTGTTAATACCCCCCACTCTGTATGAACATGCTCTTAGTTAAACTATTTTTATGTTTAAAATGAATAAAAGAAATGATGATTGAGATTTAGATAACATCGTTTTAAATCTATTAAAAGTTGAAAATTAGATTTAAGAAATTGAATTTTTGTTAAAAGAAGAATCTTTTCTATTATCTTTGCTAATTATTGGTGCAATTAAAAAGTTTCTTCTGAAATTAGAAGAATTTTAATTGCTTCGATTTTGTTTCGATGTAAGAAACTATAAACGAGATTTCTTACGAATATGATACATTTTTTTCGAATTTAAATAAATTTTAATATTAAAAAAACCCCCAATTAATTTATAGGAAATTTTAGTAATGAATTTTAATTTCTAATTTTAAAGAGAAATTTTCCAGTTTGAAGTTATGTCGTGTGATTTAAAAATTGAACGTAATTAAACGATTTATCTTGTTAAGTTTTGTGGCGTGAAGCCAAATTTTTATAATCACGGGTCAATCATTAAATTGTTGAAAACAGATTAATGCTTTTATTATGACAACGTAACTAATAATAATAACGTTGTCGTAATAAATGAGTTAATGTCTTTAAACAAAACAAAAAAAATAATAATAATAAGCGTATAATCATCATAAATTCGATGAAAACTTTGTTTACAAAATATAATTCTGTCAAGGGAAGCATATTTCTTAATAGAATTAAATTATATTTTATTATTTTTATAAATATTTGTTATAAATATGTAATCTGTAGCATCCTGTTATTTAAAAAACATAGCTTCTTCGCTATGACATTTATAAAAATTCTATTTTTTATCTTGAAGAAAATCCATTTATTCTTATGAAGATACGTTTCGCAAAACTTTGGTTGCTGCTAGAAATATTTAATGTCATCAGATAATTAAACTTTACAGACAATTTTGCTTTTTTTTAAAGCGTTGTTACGTGAATGTATTTTTACCAGAGGCTATTCTTTTCGTTTTGTATTGCTTTTCTTCTTATTTGAAGTCATAGTTACATACTTGACGTGTCTTTGATTAACTTGTATAGCTGAAATAACACGGCATTTTATAAATTATATAACGTAAATTTGCGGAAATCTGCTAAAATTAAAAATTATAATAATTTGGAAGTTTCGCCAAAACTTCAATACAGTTCCCTTCTAAATAGTTCCACCCTGATAAAGCGTCAATATATGCGTACGGATCTTCATGTTTCTTTAGTACCTGTGAATTACTAAATGAGCTATTTTGCTTTGCAAACGCCATGGTATTCATTAAATTATGTGTTTTTTTAAACTCAAATTTTTATATAGACTTTATTATTATACAAGCTGTAATTCTTATCTTTTGAATTATTTCGTTTAAGTGTTACATTCGATTTAAGATCAATTCCGAGGGCGAACAAATGATGACGCTAAATCGAAGTTTGTATTACTTTTATTTGTTATAATTAAATTTATTTAGATATTTCTTATGACATTATAAATAAATAATTTATTTAAACAACTAAATTAACTGTAGAAATGTGTTTGTCCTAATTATATGCACAAAAATGTTAACCAATACTTGTATCTTCTTAATCTAAATTTTAACAACATTATGATAAATTGTGATTTAACTAAAATATATACAACAATCAAGTGTAATTGCTATATGATCAAAATCATTTACCTTTCTTCTTCCTTGGAATATGGATTTAATCGGTTTTCAGTTGAAGACATTGTCATAAAGATTGCAAATATACAATAAATAGCAATAAAACGTCCTGCTGGTAAAAAACAAACTTCTTGTGTAAGAAAAAGTTTGTTTTCAATGTAGCTAATAACGGTTAGTATAACATGTGGTATAACCTGGCAATGAGCAAGTCTACATACCTGTTACAACAGAGTGCTGGTATCGTTGAGTGACAAATTTAACAATAAAGTTTCACCACTTAACATATACACACTTTGGGTTAAACAGGGGTCACCAAAATATGGCCCAATAGGTCGATTTTATCTGGCCCACTGCCTCACTGTGCCACAAATGAGCTAAAATATAATTATTTATATGGAAATATCATAGATTGTAGATAAACTTACTATGTAGAAAAAATTAAAATAAGAGTAAGTAAAAATGACAAAATTGGTCCAATCTGAGTTTTGCATTTGACAGTAATATAATTTTTAGGAAAATCAGTGAGATGAAAAATTTGGCTATTTTTTTGCAACTTTTGATATCGGAGCACTTTTTGTATAAGTACCTGCAATGAAGTTTCTAAGAAAAGCAATTACGAGCTTGCTGCAGAGATTGTGTTTGCATATTGGTAAATAAATATACAGTATTGGTTTTTTTTATTTTTTTGTGTATTCAGTATACTATATTGAACAAAATGGTTATGCGACCTGTGCTTGTCATTCTTTCAGTTATCTGGTGTGCTGTGATAAAAGTTTGGTGAATCCCTGGTTAAACTAGGCTGATCACTCACATCATGCAACCTTTACCCCAGGAAGGCAATGGTCAAACCTAGTCCATTGCCTTCCTGGATTGGTCAGACTATAAACTCGTTTTTCAGAATTGCATTAAATGCAATAATCAGCTGCATTAATGGGATTCATTCTTTGTGTTTTTTAAATTCTACCTTTTTTAAATATATTTTATTCATATATGTGTATATTTATAATGTATTTTATTTAAATTATACGATAGATTTTCATGTTAACTTTTAAATTGACTAATAAAATTATAATTTTGTGATTTACAGGCTAGACAAGATCATTCCTTGACTTTAAATCTTACAACACTGCGTGTTTGGTGTTATTTGTGTGAATGTGAAGTATTTTTAGAAAATAATGACCCTCCACTTGCTCCAGGAATTTTGTCTTCGCAACATATCTCTGCCAGCAAAGTATATGTTGCAGATATTGATTCAGATGAGGATGAGGAAGGAGAAAATCAAAATCTGAAACCCAGAGGTAAGTTTAAAATTTTAGTTTTCTTTCATTAATGAGAAATAATATTACAGTTGTTGTTAATATATTAATAAATTAAAAATAAATATAGTTTAAATCAAGACACAAACTGGAAATTATTATTATTATATAATTAAACTTTTACTAACTGGTATAAATTTATCTTGTAACTGGTTATTTTGGCTTGAAGATGACCTGTAGAAAAGGCCAAAAATACTAGTTGTTAATAAGATTATGCTGGTTAATAAAGATTAATTATAAAGAAACAATGATAAAATCAAATTATTACAAGATAAACAACAAAATAATTAATATAAATGAACATATAAAAAATATCTATGAATATTATTACTCATTGAAAGGGAAGATGTCAAAGATGTCAGAACTAACTACAAACTGAAACTTTTGGGCATTATAAGAAATACCGCATTTTTTTGGTTGGTCTATCTGGGGAGATCATGAAATCAGATATTTCTGTATGATAAAAACTGGCATGCTGGTTTAAGTGAATTATACATTCCTCTCTAGAGGATGCATTAAAAAAACAAATGAGTTTTTTTTAACTAAAATTGTCAGCATTACATGAAAAACTATGATTATATGTTTAATTTCTGCATTTTGTCTTCTTTATAACAACATAAAATACTCATGGAATTCCAAAAGTGCTTTTTTATGTGTATTTTATTGTTATTTGATTCAAAAATGCAAAAATAAACATATTAAATTTAAGAAATTCACTGTAAATTATCTCAGCTTATACCTATTAACATCAGCTTTGTGTGAAATTTGAGATGAAGGTGTTATTTTTAAGATAGGGGTAGATGGTCAGTGCAGCCCACAGTGACTACTACTACTGCTACTACTGCTAATGTCAATAAGTGGTTGATTGTTTTATTGTTTTGTAAAAGAAACTCTTACTGATTTTAAGCCGAGTCAAATTAAAACATTGTTATTTTATTGTACTCAGAAGAATGTCTTCTTTAATGTTTAATTAACAGCTAGTTTTGTTAGATCTGATTAATTTTATATTTTAGTTATAGTTTAACTGGCATGCCGGAAACACTGGGGTTACCAGCTTGCAGTTTCTCTCGTTTATATGCAGAATGCCTGTCATTCCACAAAAATACAGTACAAATAATAATTATTTAACAATAATTAATTATTATGGTAAATACAAGAGAAAGAAACACCATACTTCTAAATAGTGACATAAACAATAAGTGTCAGTGTGCATTCTAGTGTTACCATCCATCTGGTTTTCACCCGGACAGTCCTAGAATTGACTCAATGTCTGGGTGAAAAATTAATTTTGTCCGTGAATTTCATAGAAATTGTGAAATTACAATGAAACAATGTTCTTGCAAATATTTTTACAAATTTACACTATTTTAACAGCGAAAGAACTCACACTCACTGAAACTCATCTGCAATTCTGCCATGTTAGTCTGTTTATGCCGACTTGTAAACTGTCGACATAAACATGCGCAACCTGTCGACCTTTCTTCCCTAACTGTAACTAATATAGAACTGGCATGCACATTATTCTTCGCATTGTAAAATGACATTGCGCATGCGTCAGGAACTCCTCTTCAAACAAACCTGACCTGCTGTCCGGGTCAGCGATTTTGAAAAGGTGGCAACACTAGTGCATTCTAGTTACATTTCATGCACTAACAGTTATAGTCTGTTATAGCCTCAAATAGTGTATTTTGACTTCAACAGATAGATGCATTTGTACCAAATAGATTTGATATGCTGTTTCTGAAATCTTATGTGGGAATCTGTATTATCTGTTAAATTGAAGATCAAAATATTTAATTTTTAATAATATAAATATATAAAAATATTCTTTATTTTATTATTTTAAATTATTTAATAAGAATGAAAAAAATATAGTTGATTTTTCTGTTGAATGGAAATATTTAAAAGAAAATTCAGATGTAACAAATCTTTATTTATATATGCAAATTGTTTTGTTTAACCACATTCAATCTTTACATGAGCTTTTTACATGCCAAATTGATTAACTCCATTAATATATTTTCAAAATAATTATTATTTTTGTATTTTTTGCATAACCAATTTTATACGTTATTACATTAAAGCATAACTTTAACATAGCGATATGTAAAAATACATTCTATAATGTTTATTTAAATTTAAAATTTAGAAGAAATTGAAAAAAAAATAAAATAAAATATATTATTAATTTTTCTATTTTTTATTTTGTGGAGTTAATTGATTTGGCAAATGAGTGATTTATATCATTAATTACAGATGAATGCATAGTTTCAAATTTAATCAGTAGTATGTATGTAAAACTAAATAATTCAAAGCTACAAGAAAGACTTATCAAAATTATTTAAATTATTTTAAAATATTATGAATCTTATCATTGTTAGTTTTCTTAGTGCATTAAATATTTAATTCAAATAATTTTAAAGTAATTGTTTTTTAATAACAGGTTTAACGGGGCTACAAAATCTTGGTAATACTTGTTATATGAATGCAGCAATACAAGCACTTTCTAATTGGTAGGTAACATATAAGAAGAAAATCAGATATGCATTTAATTTAACAAATATTTAGATATCTACATTGTCTTTTTGCATATTTTTAGTCCACAGCTTACATCTTTCTTTCGTGATTGCGGTGCATTTGTTAGATCCGACAAAAAGCCAGGCTTAGCAAAAAGTTACATGAGATTGATACGAGAAATTTGGCATAAAAGAAGGTAAGAATTTAGAACATTCTAAAAATCAAATTAATATTAAAAAATATTTTTTTCTGTATGTATCCTGGAAACTTTACTGTAAAAATATAAACAAAGTTATAACACAAAATGATTAAATAATTTTAATTATTTTGATATTGAGTTAATTACGCTCCTATACTGAAATATATTGCTTGGAAACAGACAAAATGCCTAAACCAACATATATTACCTCAAATTAGCACTTATATAATTTAAATATGAAAGTGATAATTTGTTTTTAGTACATAATTTAAATTTAACTTTATGACTGTTAAATTTTTGTAATATTGCAAATGGTTGTAATTAAAATTATGTTCTCTTCTGTTGTTCTGTTCCACATTCTAACTGATGAAGCCTTAGTAATAAAGACTTTATCAGTTAGATGGAAACTATACTCTTATTTATATTTAAAAAATTTTTTATTTTTACCATTGATAAGGTGCTAAATTTCTCAAATTTATTACATCTTTCAATTGCTTATTAGAAGACCATTCCCTGCAATTTTTCTATTTCTTTGGTTAAAACTATCCTAATGGAGACATTTTCTATTATAGTACTATTTTTTTTTTTTTTATTGAGAAACCAGTTTATAATACACAGTAAACAGTGCATTCTAATAAAATTAAAGATTAAAAAAAATACCAGTAACTTTTTTTTTCCTAACTTCTTCTACAGTTTTTTTGCACTAGCATAAATGCGTTGTGGAGCTACATATATATACAGCAACAGTGAGGTCCAAATTGTATATGGGATTAAAAGTACTGTACATGTAATAGAAAGTTTTAAAAACTATGTTTTCTACTTCATGTATAATTTGGTTATAAATAACATACAATAAATAAGGGTCTTAAATCTCTTAATAGAAGCCCATGTTTTGGAAGATAATAGAAATCTCTTAATAGAATCTCTTAATAGAGATCTCTTAATAGAAGCCCATGTCTTAATAGAAGCCCAGTTCAGGCTTCTAATGGTGACATACTATATTTTATATTAATAGCATTTTCATATTATCAATAAAATCTTCAGGAATTAACAGACAACACTGTTCAAATAAGTTAATTGTTTCTTATTTTGAATAATAATGCAATTATGTACAAAAAATTGCTTTACTTAAAATATTTAAAGATCTTACGTGATTTATATTTAATTAACTAGAAAAAATGTTTCCAATTTATTATTGGAGATCTGTTGGACACTTGTATAATTTCAATTCAAGTTATCAATGTAAAATTTATTTTAAAAAATACATTTAAAGATGTAATACTTAAAATGGTAGATGATGGCATTAATGACAAGACAACATATCATATCAGGTTGTAAAAGTCCAATAATACTATAAATTTTAAACAAATAATCCATTGTTGAAGTTTTGATATCCAAATTGTGGGTATTAATTATTTTATTAATTTGAATGTGAACTCTATAGCTTTATTATTTAAAACATTTAATATTCTACATTTAAAAATACACGGATATGTGCATGCATCCATACGTCACTTACTACACACTACACACAGTTGTTATAAATACAATAGTCCAGTCCAACATTATTTATTATTGATTGAATGAGATTTAAACTAATTTCATTTACCTGAATTTTCAGATTTTTTATTAACAAATGAGATTGCTTTTATCCTCTAAATTTTTTAATGAAATTAAAATAATGCTTGAGTTGTGATAAATGCTGCTGATTATATTTTTTTATAATCGAGAAAGTTCTTATCTAATTGTTTTTGGCTTAAAAGAAAGAAAAAGCATTTTTTCTAACTATAAATGTTAAATTTTGAAAAATATTAAAATGATGATAAATGTAATTTTTTTTACTTAAACTATTATATGCTATAAATAATTTTGATTCAATTTATATTTAATAAATAATTAATGAGATAGCAAATAGCTGTTTATTTGACATTGAACATTGAGGGGGGAAAATTAAAATTTCTTCAATAATATGATTTGGAAATTGATTTATTTATATCGAAAATTTTGTATTTCTTTAGACCTAGTTATGTAGTACCGTCAGCAATTGCCTATGGAATAAAATTTGCTTTTCCTGTCTTCAGAGGTTATGCTCAACAGGTATGATCATATTGGCCATGTTAGTCTGTTTATGCCGACTTGTAAACTGTCGACATAAACATGCGCAACCTGTCGACCTTTCTTCCCTAACTGTAACTAATATAGAACTGGCATGCACATTATTCTTCGCATTGTAAAATGACATTGCGCATGCGTCAGGAACTCCTCTTCAAACAAACCTGACCTGCTGTCCGGGTCAGCGATTTTGAAAAGGTGGCAACACTAGTGCATTCTAGTTACATTTCATGCACTAACAGTTATAGTCTGTTATAGCCTCAAATAGTGTATTTTGACTTCAACAGATAGATGCATTTGTACCAAATAGATTTGATATGCTGTTTCTGAAATCTTATGTGGGAATCTGTATTATCTGTTAAATTGAAGATCAAAATATTTAATTTTTAATAATATAAATATATAAAAATATTCTTTATTTTATTATTTTAAATTATTTAATAAGAATGAAAAAAATATAGTTGATTTTTCTGTTGAATGGAAATATTTAAAAGAAAATTCAGATGTAACAAATCTTTATTTATATATGCAAATTGTTTTGTTTAACCACATTCAATCTTTACATGAGCTTTTTACATGCCAAATTGATTAACTCCATTAATATATTTTCAAAATAATTATTATTTTTGTATTTTTTGCATAACCAATTTTATACGTTATTACATTAAAGCATAACTTTAACATAGCGATATGTAAAAATACATTCTATAATGTTTATTTAAATTTAAAATTTAGAAGAAATTGAAAAAAAAATAAAATAAAATATATTATTAATTTTTCTATTTTTTATTTTGTGGAGTTAATTGATTTGGCAAATGAGTGATTTATATCATTAATTACAGATGAATGCATAGTTTCAAATTTAATCAGTAGTATGTATGTAAAACTAAATAATTCAAAGCTACAAGAAAGACTTATCAAAATTATTTAAATTATTTTAAAATATTATGAATCTTATCATTGTTAGTTTTCTTAGTGCATTAAATATTTAATTCAAATAATTTTAAAGTAATTGTTTTTTAATAACAGGTTTAACGGGGCTACAAAATCTTGGTAATACTTGTTATATGAATGCAGCAATACAAGCACTTTCTAATTGGTAGGTAACATATAAGAAGAAAATCAGATATGCATTTAATTTAACAAATATTTAGATATCTACATTGTCTTTTTGCATATTTTTAGTCCACAGCTTACATCTTTCTTTCGTGATTGCGGTGCATTTGTTAGATCCGACAAAAAGCCAGGCTTAGCAAAAAGTTACATGAGATTGATACGAGAAATTTGGCATAAAAGAAGGTAAGANTTATCTGACCCCCGATTAACCGTCACATCGGTTAACCGACCATTCTAGTTGGCAAATTTCAAATGTCCGCTAGTGATGTGGCATTACAATATTTAGCTATGTCTTGGCTACTTTAATATTATTTTTGTTAAATTTTTGCGTGTTTTAGCTGGCATCAACGGCTCGACCATTGAAGGGAGGCCAATATTTAAACGAGACTTAATTTTCTAATTATGAGTGGATGTTTGTTTCGTGAGCAATAAAATAATTTAAAAATAATTTTTAACGATACAATAGCGATGATTGTTATTTTAGAAAAAAATTTGTTAGGCAAAACATCAATGAAAACTCAATGCAAAGTTGGTTAATAGCAATATACTAATAAACTAATTACATGGGCTTTACTAATATCCTAATATACTATACTAATAATGTATTTTTTCCTTCTTTTTGTTTTTTCCTTCTTTTCGGTTATCCGACCAACCTGAGTCCCCAATTGAGTCGGATAATCGATGCTCTACTGTATATTAAAAAAAAAAAAAGGATAAATTTACTAAATTTAAGAGAAAAGATTGCAAAATTTAATGACACTGTTTATCCAAACATTAATGTGTTTACAAATGCCTCACAAAGATAGTATGGCAGTGCCAAAAATAAAAATTTCCTATTGTTTACAAGATTACATATTGATGGAATGTATGTATCACAATCAAAATCAAAGCATATTGCAGGAAAGCTGTTACTGTGGTTATGTGCTGTTTTTGTACGTATCTGTATTTAAGAATTTCTCGACTAATGACATGTTTAGTATTGTAACTTTTTGTAGTATGATATAGATGCTGTTGTTAAGCTCTAATCTTACAAGATTTTTGTGTTATGTATGTGATATTTAAGAAAAGACTATTGGTACAATAAGTACTTATTCATTCTCCATATAGCTTTTCTTTCTTTTTCTCTGAGTAAGTTAGTGTTTGTGTGTATTGATGCGTTTGTTCTGCAACTTGTTGTTTGATACATTTAAGCATTGTTTACGAAATAAGATGGTTGTTCATAATTATGGCAATCCCCTGTTCTATAATAATATATGAGTATTTTTATATGAATTTGTCATGTATTGTTTATAAACTGTCATGTTATTTTAAAGCTTGGTGATGATTTAGTAGGTACAGATGATGAATTTGTTTGTCTTAAATCTGTTTCATCTGTTGATGCGATTTTTCTGGCTTTGATGATCAGTGACTCGATTGCCGCTGAAGCATTATTATTATGTTNGTTGCTATACATAGTTACAAGAATAATAAAATAATATACAATATAATAGATAAAATATTAAATAATATATACATTTGAAACATAAATTATTGATCAGGAGTTGGAATGAGATTCAATAGAGTGAAACTTTTCAGAAATTTTTTTGGGAGGGAACTATTTCAACTTTTTTTTTAACTTAAGACCATCTGATTTAATAATTTGTGTTTCATTTATTAATACAGAGTGTCACACTTAAAGTTGGTATGACTGAGATGATGAAACATTAGTGACATAAATTTTATAGATGATATTTGAAAGAGAATGTAACTAATTCCAGAACTATATGCAAACTGAAGGATAGCATTTGCAGAAGCATTGAAGATATCAACATCAATATTTTTCATAAGTTTCAATCTGAACATTATTATGATGCACGAAGGCCTCACTTTTAGTATCTTTTCTAAGTTTTTGTACATTTAAATAATAAATAATGAATGCTAAAGTAAAGTTTCTAACAAGTGTCCTTGCCAAAACTCATTTTTATCATTTGCAGCGAATGGACCAATTTTATGTGGGACGCCTTATATATTAGTCATCTGTCAGAATTACTTTGCTTGCTCCCTTCATTCTTCACAAGAAAAAAAATTAAAGAACACTGATTTATCTTAAGAAAAGTATGAATTAGCAAATCCACCAATAGAAATGTTGAACAGATTCAAAAAACATGTGGTTTTGCTAGTTGTGATTGTATACATTAATAACTGCTTCTGTCAACAAATTTTGACATTTTACTTTTGACCTCCTCTTAGTGAAATTATAAATTTTTTATTTTTGCAGAAAGGTTCATGAAGGTTAAAAATTTTTCTTTCAAATGATAAAAAATAATAATTTTTAGTAGAGAACTATGTTTAAAGTTATATATTTCAAGAGAGAATACTTTCAATATTTTAAAGAAATATTGAAAGTATAGTAGGTGGGTAAGAATAAGTTGTTTTAAATACTTTCAAAATATTCATACATCATTAGGTTTTATCTCAGGAGCAGTAAAGTAAATAATAGTATTTATGTAAAGAAACGATGATTAAATGGTAATGTAATAACACTGTTTAGCCAGTGTCATGTCATTGTTTAGATCACATGTTCTTAATAAGTAAATTTGTTTTATTAATTTACTGTTTTCAAAATGGAAATAACTGAATGTGAAGTTGTTTGTGTTGTGTTTTTGTAGTGATGAATTGGTTTAAGCAGTGATGATGTAGATTCATTTGCTAAAATGAATTTTTGTGGTTATTTGGAAGAAATTTGTTGTTTTTACAAATTTTTCAATAAAATATGATGGAACAGATGTAGGAAAGTACAGTAGAGCATCAATTATCTGACCCCCGATTAACCGTCACATCGGTTAACCGACCATTCTAGTTGGCAAATTTCAAATGTCCGCTAGTGATGTGGCATTACAATATTTAGCTATGTCTTGGCTACTTTAATATTATTTTTGTTAAATTTTTGCGTGTTTTAGCTGGCATCAACGGCTCGACCATTGAAGGGAGGCCAATATTTAAACGAGACTTAATTTTCTAATTATGAGTGGATGTTTGTTTCGTGAGCAATAAAATAATTTAAAAATAATTTTTAACGATACAATAGCGATGATTGTTATTTTAGAAAAAAATTTGTTAGGCAAAACATCAATGAAAACTCAATGCAAAGTTGGTTAATAGCAATATACTAATAAACTAATTACATGGGCTTTACTAATATCCTAATATACTATACTAATAATGTATTTTTTCCTTCTTTTCGGTTATCCGACCAACCTGAGTCCCCAATTGAGTCGGAAAATCAATGCTCTACTGTATATTAAAAAAAAAAAGGATAAATTTACTAAATTTAAGAGAAAAGATTGCAAAATTTAATGACACTGTTTATCCAAACATTAATGTGTTTACAAATGCCTCACAAAGATAGTATGGCAGTGCCAAAAATAAAAATTTCCTATTGTTTACAAGATTACATATTGATGGAATGTATGTATCACAATCAAAATCAAAGCATATTGCAGGAAAGCTGTTACTGTGGTTATGTGCTGTTTTTGTACGTATCTGTATTTAAGAATTTCTCGACTAATGACATGTTTAGTATTGTAACTTTTTGTAGTATGATATAGATGCTGTTGTTAAGCTCTAATCTTACAAGATTTTTGTGTTATGTATGTGATATTTAAGAAAAGACTATTGGTACAATAAGTACTTATTCATTCTCCATATAGCTTTTCTTTCTTTTTCTCTGAGTAAGTTAGTGTTTGTGTGTATTGATGCGTTTGTTCTGCAACTTGTTGTTTGATACATTTAAGCATTGTTTACGAAATAAGATGGTTGTTCATAATTATGGCAATCCCCTGTTCTATAATAATATATGAGTATTTTTATATGAATTTGTCATGTATTGTTTATAAACTGTCATGTTATTTTAAAGCTTGGTGATGATTTAGTAGGTACAGATGATGAATTTGTTTGTCTTAAATCTGTTTCATCTGTTGATGCGATTTTTCTGGCTTTGATGATCAGTGACTCGATTGCCGCTGAAGCATTATTATTAATATTATTATTATTATGTTATGAATGTCAAACTCAGCCAATACTGGTTCCAAGTGCTATGCTGGACTAAAGTCAAGGCTTGCCATTGTGTTGGGAATCAGTAGTGGATTTGGTATTAATTTGCCTGTAGAAGAGTTTTCCATTGTTTGTGAATAATTTTTTTCATTGTTTCCATACATAGCAAATTTTGTAATGTTTGAGTCATCATGCTTTGGCTTCAAGTTTTTGTTTCAGTGTGTCAATATATTCTGCAATGTGGACATTGCGTTATTCATGTTTTGTGTGTGTTTTAATTTTCTTGAAGTGTTTTTAGTTGTTTCATTAATTTAGGTGTTGTGTTGTTATTAGCAGATTGTGTCAGCCTGCCTTGCTGCTGTCTAATATTGTTTATTTGTGTTTCTATTCTTCTTTGCTACCAGTCAGGCTTCTGAGTGTTTTTGATTTGTGTGCTTCTGTCTGGATGCAGTTTTAATCTATGGTAGGTCACTACTGTGACTGTACCTGTACAGAATAGTGTGTGAATGTCTGAGAGAGTAGAAATAGAATGAGTGCAATCTTATAATACGTAAGTGTTCACATAGTACAGAGTTTTCCCTACTAGTTTATAAGTGTTGATTTTGGGAATTCGTGGCCATTGTGCAGGGTCAATGCTTGTAAATTTTGTGAGTGCTTCTTGGAAAAGAAGACTGAGAATGTGAATTAAATCTGAATCTGTTTCAGGAAGTGAAGAAGTGTTGATATTGTCAGCTCAGTGAAAATAGTGGTGGTAGGAACAGCATTGTCAATGCAAGTATCTTGATGAGCCCGAAGGATTATATGATTGCTGTTGATGTAATTCTTTTGCAATTTGCTTTTTGATATGTTCTAGTGTTGTTTGTGTTATAAGGTTGTTATGTATAATTATTCTTTTCTGATTCACAACCCTTTGTACAGTGATAGTGAGGTGTGGATATTGTTGTGAGAACAGGTAATGTAACTGTTGCCTTTATCATCTCTGTTTCAAGTTTTGTGATGGTGTAGTAAATATGGATGATAAACTTGTTTATTTCTGAGTCCATTTCATCTGTTGGCATGGTTTACGTGCTTTAGTGGTCTGTGGCTGGATTGCCTTAGAAACATCAAGATTAAGCCAGTTTCCCAAAATTGGTGTGGACAGTGTAGTATACTTGGACCAGTGCTGCTTTCAGCACTGATGGCTAAGGGAGACTGTGACATATTTTTTGAACGTGAGCCTCTGCCTAACTCACTAGTGTGGACCTTGTTAACCTGGGTGACATCCAAGCTGGTATTACATTTGGATTGTGTTATTACCACCGTTTGATCTTCTACAGATGTGGGTTCAGTCGCACATGGCTTCATTTTTCCCCACAGACCTCACTCATATGAGGGACACTACCAGGAGCAGATGTTCCAGCTGGCATAGCTCTGTGGTTCATCAGAATACTGAGCTCTCTCACCACAGCAAGGTGGTGACTTGTGAGAGAGATAATAATAATAATAATAATAATAATAATAACTCTCCCGTGGTCACCACCTGGTCGTGGTGGGAGAGCCCAGTAGTTTTACAGATCCATAGGGCAATGCAGGCTGGAGCACAAGCTCCTGGTAGGGACACCCATGCCAGNGAATACATGCCATATTCATATTGTTAGGAAATTCCTTAATACAGACACACACATTTAATTTTAGTTTTGTTTTGGTTGCTATGCCTTGACTCTGGTCCGGCATAGTACACAGCCACCGGTTTAAACCGAGTATTACCTACTAAACCCAACATAATAATAATAAATATTATTATTAATATTATTGCAACTATGTTCAGTTCCACATATTTATGTTAGCATCTCTGAAGACGAATTCAAAAGAATTAAGTTTTCTTTTGAATCTTTTATTACTTTTGTTTTAATATTTTTTTTTTTGTGTTAAAGCATTGAAATTATTCTACTTATGGAGATATTATTTTGTAGGCATAACTTTTATATATTATTTACTTGTTAAATAATTTAAATGAGAAAATTTTATTTAATTTATTGCATTATCAGGATGCTCAAGAATTTCTCAGATGCTTTATGGATCAGTTACATGAGGAACTAAAGGAACCAAAAATTGAAGTTGAATCATGTGGCGCTATGTCTCCTGATAGTCCGGAAGAATTTGATAGTTGTCAAGGTGAATCTGCATTAGGTGTTTCTGAAGATTCCAGCCAATCAGAAGCAGAATTTGAGACATGTGATTCAGGATTAAGTAGTGAAAAAAGTTCATGCATAGAAGATTGTGTAGAACATAGAGAAGGTTTAGTTGCAAATGAAGACGACTGTCAAGATGCTTCTTTACTTATTAATTCTAACCAAGAGGGACATATGCAAAATCAAATGCCTAATTTTCATTCACATCCATCAAATAAATCAGCAGAAGTTAATAAAGAAAAGGAAGGTTATAATTCTGTTCGTAATCTTCCACCCAAGGAGGATTATCGCCATTACGGGGGTATCGATTGGTCATCTGATTCAGGAGTTCAAGGTAATCATTCTGTAGATATTTCGGATGTGGGAAGCTATTTGGAGGGAAAAACGTCACCTGCTTCAAGATCTGGAGAATCTAAAAAAGCAAATTATATAGGTATAAATAACAGGCAACAACTTGATTCTCAGCGCCAGACAATACAAAGAAATTCTACCACCATTAGACAAATTCAGAGTCAGAATCAATCATTTGCCAAGATGGGACCAAGGAAGAAGAAACCTGTACAGTATCATAGTGTTATTTCAGATATTTTTGATGGGAAGATAGTTAGTTCAGTGCAATGTCTTACATGTGATACAGTAAGTATTCAATTTATCATCAGTTTATTTTAAAGCGGAAAAACATAAAATTATATTTAGTTTTTTCTTAATAAGTTTTATTTTAAATAATTTAATATATTTAAATATACACAGTTGGATCAATTAATTCAGGAATAAAAAAGAATGTTAATCAAGAGAATTTTATATATACAAATTTATTATTTCATTTTAGAGAAATTTATTATCTGAGAAATTATAAATTTTATATGGTAGGCCTACATCAGATTATTTTTCAGTAAATTAAAAATATACAAAGTAATAGTAAATTATAAGGATTAATGTACATATTTCTTAATTTATTTGTTAACTATATTACAGTTATCAACAACAAAAGAGACATTCCAAGATCTTTCTTTACCTATTCCTGGTCGTGATCATTTACACATGCTTCATGCTTCTCATAATAATCAGCAAAAGGGAACCAATGCTTGTACAGATGTTTATAGTAACAGGAGTTGGTTAGGTTCTATGCTTGATTGGATCATAAGGTTTGTAAATTTTCACAAAATTCAATAATTTAATATTGAAAAACTACAAATATTTGAATTTTTAATTAGTATTAAATACAGTTACAATTATTTTTAACCTTAAAGTTACAAATTTAATCAATGTTTAACCTCTTTCATTATTACAATATTAACTGAAATTATTAGTTTGATCCACTAGCTTCTAGATCATATGATTTATTGTGTGAGATTAAAACGATCCTTTAGAAAATAACAACAATCATATTTGTGTTTTTATAATTTCCAAAGTATGGTTTATTAAGATACTGTGATAGTAAAGTTGATAATGAATTGTGATATGTAATTAATAAAATTAAGATACAATGTATTTCGTATTGATTTATATTAAATTCAATATTTAGATAAAATTTCCATTCATCGACAATAATTAATGTTTGATCTTAATAAACTATATAATAAGTAGTTTAATTAAAAGTATGGTTAAATTGAATAAGTTTTGAAAGGTTTATTGACTCCATTAATTGCTTTTAAATCCACACACACAGAAAATATTGAAAGTTTTAAGGATTTTCTAATTCCTTGCCAATTTTTCAGTATTTTTTGTGTGTAAATTTAAAGTGGATCTGATTAGAATGAGTAGAAAAATAGTTATAATTGTTGATAATAAATTTATTGTTAACAGTTATAACTTTTCTTTTTTTAACATTAAGTTTAATAACAATAAATTAGCAGACAAAAAAGTCATTGTGGCTATAAATATTGGTGATCTAAAAGCCATGATATATGGGAAAATTGGATCATTAGTTTTGTGGATTGGTCATTGTAGTTCTTTAGAGTGGCTTCTGAGATCCCTGGACCTTAACCTTTTTGATTTTTACCTGTGGAGACACTTAAAAGCTTTGGTGTACCAGGAAAAAATTTAAAGTATGGATCACCTAAAGAAACTCACTCAAAGATCAGTTAAGTAAGTGACAGCTGATGAGTTAAAAGGAATTCAACTTGAGTGGGAGGGATGCTTAAAAGAAATGGCCAGTGTGTAAAGTTTTATAAATAAAGTCTCATTTTTCTAAAAAGTGTTAAATTTTCCCATGTATTGTGACTTTTTGGACACCCTGTATATTGGAATTCAGTCGATGCAATAGTAAATTTTGTAGACATTAATATGCTTACAAAAATCAATCCCTACAAATATTAATTTTGGTTCATCTCTAATTTTAATAATGTAATTTTTTCAGCTGGTTTTCAAAAGTTTCTAAATATTAAAATTAGAATTGAAATTGTATTTTTAACATTAAATTATTTCATATTTGATTTGCCAAATTTGAATTATTTATAAAAGTTCTTTTATAATACACTTGGGAGTTGATTGAACATGGTATTTCTTACAATGGTAACAGGTTGGGCCCAAATTTGAAAAAATGAGATTTATATTGCACTTCAAATGAATTTTACTTTATATCATTAACACTATTGGTTTTTAGACCAAAAATTCAATGGTTTTCACATATATATCCAATAATAATTCTTTGTACTGCCTTTACACTTAACTTAATTACTTAATGTCAAAGTTATTTGCTTTTGAATGAAATCATACATACATTAGAATGAAGTATACTACAGGATGTACAATTATTATAACGTGTTTTTGTCCAATCACATCAAATTATTTGCTGGTACATCTGTCTATCAAAATACATTAATTTAATAAAATATGGGCTGATATTTTGGATCCTGAGATCTGAGTTATATCGTTATCTTAAGTATATAGTCAAAAGAAGACTCTAACACTGTTTTATAGAATCTGTTTTTATATGGTCTTACTATTTGAAGAAAGAATAAACAGACAAAATTATATTTTTATATAACAGATTATGTAATAAAGAGTAAATCTTTCTTATATAATTTCGTCAAACTGTACTTTTAAAATGAAAACAACTAAATATTTTTAATGCTTCATTTTATGATGTAGCATCATTAAAACAACTTTGCGCAATAATGAAAATGACAATGGAAATGGTCTATTTGAATTGCTGTGTTTTACCATAGTCCATGTTCAATACAGTTCTAGATTTGTTGTGAAACAATATAGATGCTTGGTTGTTCAATATGTTTGTAATCTATAATTATATTTTATAGATTACAGATATTATAATTATAACTATATTTATATAAATTTTCTTATTAGGAAGATTAAATGATAGAGCAACTCTAAGATGTAAACATTTAAAAGGGTATATATAAGATTTACTTCTGTTTGTATTACAATAATAAAATAGCTTATAAAACATTGATAAAACTTCAATTTAGTTACAAAAATATAAAATGTATGATAAAAACATCTGTTACTGTATTTTCCTACATGGGAACCACATCTAGCACATAACTACAAAAATTGCTAGAGCACACAGTGTTGCATTTGTTTTCAAATTGACTTTAAAACATGTACTATAATTTCCTACATATTATCCATCTAAGTAATTTTAATAATAATAAATTTTCTTATTTTCAACAGTTGGTTTTGGGGACCCACCATAAGCCTGCAAGATTGCTTGTCTGCTTTTTTTTCTGCAGATGAATTGAAAGGTGATAATATGTACAGCTGTGAGAAATGTAAAAAACTAAGAAATGGCATAAAATATTCCAGAGTTTTGCAGTTACCTGAGGTAAAATACTGTTAAAAATTTTTATTTTTTTAAGAAGATTTACTATATTATATGAATCAATTGCAATCATATTGTTATAAATTTATACAGTAATACCTCGATTTACGCTACCCGACTTACGTGAACCCAGAGTTACGCGATTTTCAAATCTCGTTGATTCATCTTTTGTTTGAGCGCCATGAAACTCTTGATTACTCACTCCCGCCACACTATTGTTCAGCTTACATGTTCGGACGTGTTGCATGGAATCGACACATAGCTACAATTTATTTTGTGTTATTTATTTCTGTGTTTGTTATATCTACGGAGACTTGAGAGACTCTATGTGGTGATTTCTTTTAACCGTGAACGAATCAAATGACGAGATAAGATTAACGAGAACATTTATTAGCTTACATACATCCAACTTGGATTTTACACAAATTACAAAATTATACCCCGACTTACGCGGTTATCGCTCGGTTCCACCTATCGCGTAAGTTCGGGGTATTACCGTATTTAATTAGCATTTAAGCATTTGAAATATATTAACGTTTAATTATTAGTCATTAAGTAATATTGTATTATATTATGTAATGATATTTCTTTTTCCTTTAGTATTATTATGAAGAATTGTTTAGGATTTAAAAATAATTGTTATACTTTTGAAATTTGATATCATTTTATATAATCAGTAAATATGTATATCAAATTTATAGGTAGTTTCCAAAGTTATTAAGTATAAGTAAAGTTTATAGCTTAATTATTATTAGAAATATGACAATAATTACAATATATAGTATTTTTTATATGGATTATATATATAAAGAACATTGACATATTTAATTCATTTATTTAGGTTCTTTGTATTCACTTGAAACGTTTTAGACATGAAGTCATGTTTTCTTCTAAAATAAGCAGCAATGTTTCTTTCCCTCTTGAAGGATTGGATATGTCTCCATTTCTTCATAAAGGTATCAAGTTCCATTTATTATTTATAAGTTAATAATTGTAAAAATTAAGTGAATTATAAGATACAAAATTGTAATATAGCATAATTGACTTATTATAATCACTTCAGAACATGCCTGTACTGATGATGATAACTGATTGAAAATATGTGGGATAAGTAAATAAGACTACAATTCTGGATTTAGTGATTCTGACATTAAAAAGACATGTTAAAACAATTAAAAGTTTTATAAGTTTAAGATTTAGTAATTTATCCAGCATTGTTTGCTTGCCATTTTTTTCTATAATACTATCTTTAATAATAGCAAACCTATAGATACACCATTAAAACTGATGTAAGAAATGCAAACATTTAAACTAGTGCACTGTGAGAAAATAATGTTTAAAACACTGGTTAAGCCTGACTAATGATAATGATTGTGTGTATCTTGAGTAGGATTGGACTTAATGGTGATTTTACTCATGTGACCGTAGGGTCGGTATCTCTTCGATACTACGTCAGGATGTGACACCACCGAGTCTCGCAGGACTCGGAAATCGCGACTTTATGTCACGCGAGCGGTAGCGTACGAGGTTTGGACCCGGAATAGAGGAAACGGAGAGAAAAATGGAAGAAACTGCACTCGAGAAGGGTTTAACATAAACAACCGTTTATTTATATATCTCTAATGTAGATTTACATTAGTAAATAAAATGCGAACATAAATTACATGAATCGTGTTCAGTTATCATTTTCTAGTTCTAGTTCTAGTTTCAGTGATCATTTCCTAGTTCTAATTACAACCGATTTCGCGTTTAGTTTACGCAGAGAGAGAGAGCGTACAATAGTGCGCGGGCAGGATAAATACCTTAGGTTGTATAGGATATCAAGTCAAGCACAAAAAAAGTCCAACAGTTCTTTCCAGTTGAGTAGGTATTGAGGTCAGTTCAGTTCAGTTGAGGTCTTCTTGGAGTTCAGTTCTAGTCTTGTAGGCGAAAAGGAGGTTCGGATTCTCGGTGGGAGGTAGACGATCGGAGTGCACACACAGATACCAATAATAACTTCCACCCCCTTACTCATCGTGCCCGTCCCTTTTATATCAAGTCCTCTTTTTCAAACCTTTCCCCGATTTTGTCAGCGATGACGATCTTCTTAGTCCAATGAGGTGATGGGTGACACAGAAATGTACTCATCTCAACAAGGAACCCAACTTGTGGGAATCGAGGTTTTTATCGATTTATTTTTCCCTTTTCCTTTTTTTTTTCTGTTTTCTCGTTCCATCTTTATAAAGTTTATTAAACAAAAAAATTTTAGTTTACAATACAAAATTTCTGATCCTCACACTCATTATATAACAATTTTATAATTTTTCTATTCATATTATTGTTAATTTATTCTTAGCATTTAATTTTTCTTTGAAGAGGGAAAAAAACATAAAATTAGAATTTGAACATACTGAATTTTTATACAAATAATGTAATCTAATAAGATTTTATATTGAATTTTTTACGTTAAATTGTTATAAAATTTAAATAATAGACTTAAAATGACTAATTTTGATATTAGATTGTTCAAGAGGAGTTACTACCTATGATCTTGTTGCCGTTATATGTCATCATGGCACTGCTGGTTGTAAGTGTAATTTTTTTTAACTAAACAAATTAAGAATATAAAAATTTAAATTATTTTGAGATATTAAACTTTTGAAAGCTATATTTGTGTATTTTAATTTATACTCTAATTTTTTCCATAAATATTTCTAAAATTTATGGTGAAAATTAAATATGACTATTATATAATATATTTAGTGATTAAATTTTGTTATTGATTTAAAGCACTTGCTTTTGAAAGCAATGTCAGAATAATTGATAAATTTGTTACTTTCTATCAATTCTTACACACAATGTTTTAAATACCTTGACTTAATATCAAATATAAATGCAATAAAAGTTGTGTGTATCAATTAAAATTTGTTAACATTAATTTAGAATACATGGTTAATCACAGTGACATTAATAATTCTATTAAATTATTTTTTACCATTTTAAAATTGTATAATTATCTGATTTTTTTAATGAGTGTCTTTGGTGGATTGGCAACACAGTGCCAAACTACTGAAAGAATAAACTGGAATTGAATCCCCGAGGGCTGTGAGTTTTAAGATCCATTGAGTTAGTGTTGGCGTGTAGCTAGCTATCCATCTGCTTTTATGACTGAGTCGTAAACAGAGTGGTCTTACACTCTCCTCAATGCACCTTTGTAGCATGCTTTAAGAGACTCTTGCTTTTTTCCAATTAGAAAGTTTTTTCCCATCTATTGCTTGTATAAATTATTATAAATATTGAAAAATAACTAAAGTAATTATTCTACTCTATTAAATCTGTTTTTAAATAAAGGTTGGATTAAACTGAAGCCTCTTTGCAAATTTATACAGTGTAGGTATAAATTTGCAAATTTATATGTATTTTGGGCACAGCTCTTCACCAGTTTGACCTATTTGGATATCAGAATATATGAGTTATAATATTTAACAATACATTAATTATATTATCTTTACATACAATTTTGAATTTGCTTAACTAATACTACAATTATTGGTTTCAACTCTAGATATAATTTTTAAAATTAAGATACAAATACAGTGGGCGATCGGTTAACGAACATAATCCATTCCAAGACTTTGTTCGTTAACCGATTATTGGTTTACCATAGGTTTTTATGGGAATTTGATTAATTTGTTCTGGAGTCTCCAAAAAATAAAAATAATATATACTTTTTATTATGTTTATTTATATGTAATAGTAAAAATACATATATATGCAGTCTTGCATTTTATTACTCATGTTTTTTCCGTTTGTGGGGGTTAAAGAATCTGTCAAATGTCGATTGCTTTTCTCTTTTCTTCAGGATTTTTTGGAAGTAATTAATAATATTGTAATTGTAGAGATTCCCAACCCCATTAACCTTATTCTGGTTTGGATGTCACTTGGATGATTGTTGTTCTCATGTTTTTTCCGTTTGTGGGGGTTAAAGAATCTGTCAAATGTCGATTGCTTTTTTCTTTTCTTCAGGATTTTTTGGAAGTAATTAATAATATTGTAATTGTAGAGATCCCCAACCCCATTAACCTTATTCTGGTTTGGATGTCACTTGGATGATTGTTGTTCTGACATTCTTCCACTTCTTCAAAAGATCTTTAGTAGCAGATGTCGACATTGGTCCTCTTTCGTCTTCCTCTTTTTCAAAAGAAAACGCATCTTGCTGAGTTTCTTGGTATTCTTCATTTGAGAGTTCTTGGAGTTCTTCTGTCGTCAGTTCAGTTTCAGGTTCCATTATGAGCTCTAAAATGCTCTTTATTTCTCAGATGTGATTTTCATTATGCCATTAACAGCTTGAGACTTCTTGATATATCTTTCATAGCTAAGGTTGTGCCTACTGTAGACCTGTTCAAGCCATACTGCCTAGCAACATCAGACATCTTGTTCCCACTTTGTACCTTGGCTATTATCTCTTACTTGGTTTCTATAGTGAGCACAGTTCTTGACACTCCTTTTTTTTAGGCTCCATAATATTATCAGTTTCTTTTTTAAATAAAAAGTTCAGAAAAGCACTTACAAAAATTCAGAGAACAGAAATCAACTAGCCCACAAAAAATTATTTAAATGCAAGGCTGGATGAAATTCAAAATTTAGTATTAAAACGTTAATGAATATTCGATGGGACAGTTAAACTTTCACCTTTCATAAATAAACCCTCGACACAAAACTTAACAAGTGCCTGTCTGATAGTCTCATGAAGGCTATAAAAAATTATTTGTCAGAAAGATAAACAAAAAGCTGGAATTACAAAATTTGGAGGAATATTATACTATCTGATTGGTATCGGGTTGAGTGTCGATGTTATGTCTCCTGCACTCTGAAAGGTTTCGAATTGTTACCTGAAGACAAGGGAAAATCAATCGGTATTCGTTATTTTCAGTCGCTTCTTTTTATGTTTGTTCAGTAAAGTGTTCGTTGTCTGATCATAAAAATCTTTCGCAAAAGTATTCGTTATCCGATTTGTTTGCTATCTGAACTGTTCATTAACTGATCACCCACTGTATTAAAATTATTAATTTCATATATGGGTAAATGGAATACACATATGTTTTAAAACACAACCATTATAAAGGTAAAGTTATTTACATAATATTATAAAAATACTAAATTATAAAATAATGTTATAATTTGACATTAAAAGTATCTATGTATAATTCAATGTTTTGTGTATATCTATGTCCAACAGTATTACAAGTTTCAATCTTGTGGGTTTAAAAGTATGGCATATTATAAAATTAAAAGTAAAATTATCTTGAAATTTTAATAATGTATGTATTATCTTTAAAGATAATTTTGGTGAATGTACCTGTACATTTTATACATATAAAAGTTATGCACTTAAATCTCAAGTGCACTGTAATTATATTATAAAGTTAGGTGAATAAGTTGTGTATAAATGAATCAGAAGAGCAGCCTTTAGCAGTCCAATATATTGTCCCAGATTTTATGGATGCACAATTAATCTTCAATTACAAAGACCACATAGAATGAAAGGATAATCTCTCACTATCATTCGTCTGTCTGTATGGGATTGAAGCTTTCATACAAAACAAATTCAAAATACAAAAAATTGACAGTATTAATTTTTTTAATTACCTGTCACTGTTTTAATTTAAATTGTCTCCAGCTGATTTCCTATGATTTTGTTATGCAGATACAGAATTTATATAGCAGAGCCTTTGTATTTTTGCCTGACTATATATATATATACAGTCGACCCCCCCATAACACGGTAGATACATTCCACTTTATAAGAATCTTGCGTTGTAGGAATCCTTAAATACATGAGCCAATCACTGGCACGTGTGCAGTTTACAGACTACGGCTGTTTGAAAGGTTTTCTTCCATAAAATTAATCGATTCTAGACTAATTTGACTCAACATTTCCAAAACGTATAATTATTTGGGAATAATTCATATAAACTATGCTATAAACAAAAAATTGTAGGATTACTTACCGAGTGTGCACCGTTNCTTTATAAGAATCTTGCGTTGTAGGAATCCTTAAATACATGAGCCAATCACAGCTTGGCATGTGTGCAGTTTACAGACTACGGCTGTTTGAAAGGTTTTCTTCCATAAAATTAATCGATTCTAGACTAATTTGACTTAACATTTCCAAAACATGTATAATTATTTGGGAATAATTCATATAAACTATGCTATAAACAAAAAATTGTAGGATTACTTACCGAGTGTGCACCGTTTGACGATGCCATTGCTTAAGCTTGTTTACATCGCGGAGCAGCGCACCAAACAGCGGACACGTTTTCTGATAAGTTATTTTTCTGTGAAAAATTTGCTGAACTTTCGAGACATCATTAATAGAAATAATTTTTATGGCCATTGAATAAGAAATGTATAAAATTACAGTACTGTATTAGACTTACAGTACCTAATTTATATACTGTACAGACGATAGTAAAACTCAACTTACCTGCCTAAACTCTCCGTAGCGTGTAAGTAGTTCGGCTACTCATCCACTATTGGTCCAGATTCGACCAATCTTGTTGCAACATGAGTCGGCAATGACATTTTACCACATTTTACGAGTCTCTTTTAGCGTCTTTATACAAATATGGTCACAATTTTTTCAACACAATATACGAACCCACATTATAGGGGGTCTACTGTATATATATATATATAATGAGAGGGCTGAGATGTTTCTCAGAAGGATCAGAAAGTGATTTTTTTTCTGTATTTTTCGGACACAAAATAAACTGCTGAATAAGTTTAAATTGTTGAAGAACATAGCAATCTTAGCTATCTTAGAGATAAGTGTTCAATATTATAATGATTTGAAGACCAAATATCATTACATCATAAACTGACAAATACCCATGACATCAAGACTACCTCTTGTGGTAATCATGAGAGACCTGTGTGACATCAGAGCAGAAAGTCACCTCCTATGCATGCAGTTACGTGACAAAAAGGAAAAATTGTATTTGATTGTATGTGTAAGATGGCAGTTTTTTGCGGCAGTGTTTTGAGGATCTGTGATGAGTGGAAAAAATATTTTTGACTGAAATTTTTATACAGTCAGATTGATAATATGTAGTTTGAGGATATTACAGAAGCACAGGCATATAAGTCAATTTGGTGAGAAATACCTACAAAAAAAGAAACTAGTACGTGTGAAAAATTGCTGCTACTACATATGATTGTGGGTTAATTCTGGAATTTGACAGAATTTATGAATCTATATATCATATGGAGTAAGGTTCAATGATTAACAAAATTAAGAAATTGATATGTTATAGTTCCTAATAATATGATAAAAATGTTATAGCTAATATTATCAATTATATTATTGATTTGTTTTTCAAAAATAAAACAAAATTGAATTATAATTATAATTTTTACATAAAATAACTCAACTTTCTTTCATTTTTATAGCTGGTCATTATACAGCATATGGATTAAATTACTTAAATGAGCAATGGTATGAATTTGATGATCAATGTGTTACTGCTGTTGATCCTCAAGTTGTGCAAAATTGTGAAGCATATGTTTTGTTCTACAGGTCAGTATTTTTCTCTTTCAGTTTTTTAAAAGTCAATGTTATAATACACTTACATGTATCCCTCATACAACACGGTTTCACTCTAACGCTGTTTGAAAATTGGGGACATCCCCCATACAACACTACTTCCGATTTCACTCTAACATGGTTTTGGAAATCCTCCATACAAAATTTTACAATTTTTAAGTGTAATCTTTGCTATTCAAAAATTTTTTTATTCAAGTAATCATGCATGTCTTCTTAAATTTGTCTATGGATTTTAGAATATAGAAATTTTCAAATTATTTTGTGCTTTTCATCAGGTTTACTTTAATGAAAATTGAAGAGCGCAATTTTTTGTTCCTTGTCCTAGCTTGTCAACCAGGTGTTGTCGTCATTGCTTTCAGCCCTTAAGACTGTCATCATGTTTTCTTTTCATAGATTAATCTTTGTACTTATCTAAATATATTTAAATAAACTTTACTAAGTGTTATTAAACTTCTTTTAACTGTAGGTATTACTTACCTACAAATGATTACTTTATTTGTAAAAATGACGAATGAAATACGACAGTATCTCAGTACTCGAACAATTCAATGTTTGAACACAAATTCTGGAAAAAAGTCACTCAGTACTTGACTGAACAATTGTCTGCTAGAACATTCTTTGAGAGATGTTGATGACATCATCTTAAGTTAATCTCAATAAATGATTAAAATTTTTTAGTTGATTTAGAATTTTGTATAGAATTGAGAACAGTTATGTTTTATCTTTAGGAACTTATCTAGTTTATAAATACATTTGAAGCTGATAGTTATGTAATGTTAGAAGTCTTGGGGATAATTGAGCATAATTTATTTTCATCATTTTGTCATAAAGTTACAGGTTCTCTATAATTTTACAGATACAGATTTATGGATACTCTGTTTCCATAAATACAGTTGTATTGGTTAATGTTTATTAGTTTGCGATTAAATTTATAAATTATAAAAGATTTAAAAATTATCTTTAAAATTCCATTTGATATAAAGTAAAGGAAGTTTTTTGTATACTTTTACAGAAAATCTTCAGAAGAAATGATAAAGAAACGTCAAAGAGCAATTGAATTAATGGAAAGAAGCAAAAGAGAGGTGTGCATCATATTTTATCTGTAATAAAAATGTAAAGTTATTGTAAAATACTTGAACAAATACCATGTATATCAAATAAATTATTTAAGTTTTTAAGACACAAAATTAAAAAAAACTTAATATGATCGTCTCAATGAATTTTTCTACAATGTGCAGTATGAAGAAAATAAAATAATCAAATTCAGAAAAACTTCTAAGTTCTTATAAATTTACAAAAATTCTACTTTATTGGAATAATTATTGACAAATCTCACATTCATGAGCTGGTTCAGATTGCTAAAATCTTTGTTTCAGGGTTGCAAATAGTTTTTAAAGGAAATTTATCTTTCCAATACATCTGAACTACAACAAAACCAAAATTCTAACTTTATGAATGTAATCATTCTAACTATAATAGACTGGAGATTTGAACCCACAACTCCCATTTAACATGCAGTTGCATTGTCAGTTATGCTACCTGGACTCCTGACCAGATCTTCCCTTCCGACTTCCTTAACTAGGAACATATCAGCAAGTTAAGCAGGAGTTGCAGGTTTGAATCCTATTCCAGGCTATTCTTTTCTTCCAGAATACTCTAGACAGGTGACGATGATAAATTGCTTGCTTGGAATATTGAGCATTTGAATTTGAACTCTTTTTGTGGTTTATGTGTATTTGAAGAGTAATTTTCCTCTAAGAATGATTTATTTGTGTTTCTTCCTTGAAGATGAACTTAAGCAATCCAAAAATGCTCGGAATTAAGATTTGTTAATAATTTCTCCAATAAAGTAGGTTTTTTTGTAACTTTAAAATAAGAAAATTTATGAATAACAATTAAAAATAATTATTATTACTTATTTTAAAATAAATACTAAGTGAATTTCTAAAAGGTTAAATTTGAATGTTAAATATACATAAACAATTACCAAGCCTGATAAATATACAAATATTCAGAGTTTTACTGTACTTCAAATAGTAAATAATTAGAGTAACTAATTTGACCTAAAGGTAGCTGGTTAGGTTATTTATCTTTAGGACAAATTACTTAGTTTAATTACTATAACCCAAAAAATCCATCAATTGGATATTTTCAAATGTTTAGAATGTTTTTAAAACTTTGCATATGATTATATTTGGATTATTTTAAAATAATATTGTATATATATTTTTTTATGAAAGTATACTCTTCTTATTGCACACTATATATTATGAAGTAAGTAAATAAACATTTTAAATTTTCAATTATTATACATAATGACCAGGCACTATCATAGTTCGGCAGCAGGCTTAAAACATTTGTTATAAATTTATTCCATTATGTTTCTTATACAGTAAGAAAAAAACTATTTTTTTTTTTTTTGGTCAAATTTTATTATTTAAAGATTTTATGATACAACACACACATGTATACTGTATCATATTTATCATCAGGACCTGTCAGGTTGTGTATGACTTGAAGCTAATTAACTTTTCTAGATGAAAAAGATGATTAGCCTCAAGTTTTTCTCAATTTTTGAGAGGCCTTGATGATGATAAATTATTATTATTATTATTATTATCAGGTAATTATCAACAACAGCACATGACTTTAACCCATTCTATTTGATGTTATTTACTACTGAAAATACAAAACACATTTAAGAAGACAACCAATGACTACAAATTACAGATATTTTACTATGACGAATAATGCAAATAGAAAAATCTATTTATATATATAATTTATGATAACTTTGATAAACAGTCTAATTATTAAAAGAGAATCTATGAAAATAATAAATAACACACAAAAATTATTTACTGTTAATGAAATATCTTCATTTTTAGTTGCACACGTGCATAAATATCAGTCTTTAATTTTTAATTGATTATTCATGTTTTGTTGGTTATCAAAGTGGATTTTAAAAAAAGTAGATGAGCATTTTTCAGCAAATAATAATTATAAATCATTAAAAATATAAGTGAAAGTCTGTTAAATTCAGTAAACTATTCATTATTAGTTGTAGGAATGTCATATTAAAAGATCAGTGTTGTCATAATAATAATCCTGGAATTGAAAGTGAATAAATGATGGATGAATTTGACAACTTTTGTCCAAATTTTTTACTAATAAAATAAAAATCATCCTTTAAAAATTTCATCAAGAGACAGATTGGAACTAGAGTTTGAGTTGCATATAAGCTAAAGTTATGGCATATGGTCTCAAGTTGTGTGGAATAAGTTTAAATGTTACATGATTTTAAATTTATTATTTATTGAATTGGAAAGGCATCTTATTTATTATATAGATTAGGGCCACACATTTAAATTCAGAAACTGATTTGAACTTTCCATATTAAGAGATGTGTTCTCAATACAAAGACAAAGTTCAAGACACATTTTCTCTCTGTTCCTTATTTATAAATAAGGTTTATCAGAAATTAGTTAGTTTTATTTATAAAAATATATCAAATAACTTATTAGTATTTTAGCTAAGCATATATTGCATATAAAAATTATTCCATATTATGCTAAAATAAATGTAATTTTTTTTACAGCCTGGATTACTTCATTTCTATATATCAAAACAATGGGCTAACAAATTTAATACATTTGCTGAACCAGGGCCAATTACAAATAATGATTTCTTGTGTGTTCATGGAGGTAAGTCATTTGATAGTTGCTAATTTAAATTAGAAGTTTTTAATGTGAAATTTGTAAATAATTTTAATATAGTTGTTGAATCATTTATTGAAGATTAATCAATTACGTTTTCTTAGGTGTTCCACCTAATAAAGTTATGTTTGTGGACGATCTCTGTACTGAACTCTCTCAAGCAGTATGGGAGTATTTACACGATACGTAAGTAAAATTTGTGTTAAGTATTTTAATAATCAAACATATCTAACAACTGGATTATTTTCAGAGTAGTATTATGTAAGAGGGGAAATTATTGAAAACTTGATAACACGCATGGTGATTAGACATAGCATGTTCAAGTCTTGTTCCATGTCACTCTTCCAAAATTTTCTATATTATTTAATTAAATTAACTCGTAATTATTAATCTTGCCATGTGATGGTAGTGTAATTACCCATCTTTAGAATAAATTCTAAATTTCGTAGTTTAAATTAATCAATAATTAAGTTAATTCTAGCTCAAAAGTAATCTGGTTGATAGATATATTTGACTATTCATTATCCATATTAAGAATTTAAGATCAGTTTATAGTCCAAAAGCAGAATGGAGTTTAAAGATTGATAGCTGTTGGAGTTGAAAAGAATATCATTTAGTTTATAGTTAAACTCTGGCAAGTACCTAACTTGACACAGCATGGTGTTTGCATCAAAGTTACACGATAACTTGACAACAGTCAAATTCTATATATTTTTTGCAAATTTTAAATTTGAAGATTACACATAGAACATCATTAATTCAGCATCATTGACAGATTACAGAATTTTTCAGACCTAACCATTCAGATATTACTAGCTTTGTATACTTTAATTAAATATTTTCAGTTGTGTTAAAAAGTCACTCAGTTGTTGCCTGCTAGAACATTCTTTGAGAGATGTTGATGACATCATCTTAAGTTAATCTCAATAAATGATTAAAATTCTTTAGTTGATTTAGAATTTTGTATAGAATTGAGAACAGTTATGTTTTATCTTTAGGAACTTGTCTAGTTTATAAATACATTTGAAGCTGATAGTTATGTAANTTTCCTGTCTTAATTAAATATAAATAGCTACTTCACAGTGTTTAAAAGTACTAAGTAAGTACAGGTTTTTAAATTTCTCAAAATTTTAAGTTTTGTAAATATATTTAAACAGAAAAAGTAGAAATTAAAATTTCAAAAGACTACAAATTTTTATTAAAAATTAAAAAAATCTTCCAAAATAACAAATATTACTTACTATATTATTTATTAATAAAAAGTACTGTAATAATTTCACTTGCATCTTAGATTAAAATATTATCTTAAATTATAAGAAAATTGTGATTGTTCATGAAATAAATTTTACATAAATGTTTTAATTATAATTTCTGTCAGTAAGTCGACTCTAGCCAATCAGAATGCATCAATAGTTTGTTTTCTAATGATACTGCGGATAGTGAATGTAATGGAACTCACAAATCCTACTTTCACTGTTCTGTACTTCCATCAGACTGTAAACTAACCCTTAATCTTTCTATTAGTTTATTTTAAAAGAATGCTAGCTTATAAGATTTTTATACAGTTGTAGATTCATATTCACAGTTGATATTTGTAACTTTTTTCATTTTTGTGAAGCTAAAATTCATTTATTTGTGAAAGAATAAAAATTAACAAAACAATGAATACAGAGACGACTATGCAAATTTTATCATTCTTATCTTAATCTCATTCTTTTACGATTTACATTGTTGAGCATTAGATGAGGCTAGTGGATACCATCTTGTAGTTTCTCATGCTATTTTGGCACATGAATTATCATAGACAACAAATGTGTTTTATATTAATAGCATTATGGATATTAGAATTTTACAAGATTTTTTTTTGTTACGTTTTATTTCATCATAAATTAACAATGTCATCTGAACAAAATCACTAATAGAAGAATATCAAAAAAACTAAGGTTAATGGAATTTGTTCCCAATGATGATATAAATTAAATATAANTCGAATTTTATGTTCGAATTTAATTCAAATATTGTTCGAACAAATTCAAACAAAACATTTGAAATAGAAAGCCACTTTCAACCACTTTCAAGTCCATATCTCCTGCACCCTTATAGCTATCGAGACGCAACCCCCCTGGTGCACGGAGACTTGGGGCTACTACCACATACAAACACCATTCACGTGTGATGTGTAGTTTTGGCGAAAAAGTGAAATATAGGGACATACATGTCCATTTATATATATATATATAATATAGATGTTTAATGTATATATTAACATGGAAAAATTGAAAATTATGGAACTGTATTTGATTTAGGCTGCAAGAATTCTTAGATGAAATGCTGTAAAACATTCTATTAGAACAAGATATTGATAGATGACTGTTGTGCTGTATGTTAGAATATAAAGAAAACAATCTTCAGTGTAGCAGTCGCCAACCAGTGGTCTGCGGAGAAATTTGGACATTGATCAACTAAAAGTTATACAAAATATTACAAAAGAAGTACAAAATGCTTGGTTGCTTTTTCAAACTCATTGGGGGATTTTTATTTGAATCTAAAACCAAACACGAAATGACTGTTATCAATAAATAATAATGTCAATAAATAATGTTGTGGGGCGACCGTTGTCCTTCATGGAAAAGAGCCAAGAATCCATAAACTTATTTCAAACAAGCAGCAACAAACTTCACGCTAATTTGTTATAATTAAACAATTGAATTGCATATTAATAAAGTAAAATGGAACTTTTATGATCATTATCCATCTATATAACCCATTAAATGCGTGTCCGTCCGTGTAACTGTATGCCAAAAACGGGCACTAGAGGCGCCTTAGCGATGATTTTAAATTAACAATAAATTATTTTTATTTGTAATAGGAATTTATTATTTATACCACAGAATGGTATAAATAATTATTATATGCCTTGACTAGCATTGCACCTCACATTTACAACATCCTGTGACTTAGTGAACATTGCACATTGACTCACAGAAAATTTGTTGAAAAAATGGCGGATACATTTAAAATCGAGGTTTACAAGCGAAGGTAAATAAACAAATTAAACTATTTTAAAGTATTTATAGAATGTTTAATAGGTAGAAATCTAAATCCGTTGATGCGATTGGGAATAAAAAAAGTCAAAGGAACCGTACCTCATGGGAATTTGTAAAGAACGCCCACTAGGGGGATGTCCCGGGCTACTAGTTCTATAGATGTTTGTATCTTTAAAAATTTCATGATCATGGTCCATGTGATTCAAAATTGTGAATTTAGTGATCCGTGATGTCAGAAAGGTGACCACTGCTTTAGGGATAAAGCATTGAAATATGTAAGTACTGAAAATTGTACATTGAAAATTAGGAAACTTAATAAATCAGCAAAGACAAGACATTATTTAAATGTACCTATTTTTTCTTTTTGGTTATATAATTTAAATATATATATTTAGCTGATGGATCCTTCTAATCTTTAAAAGTTAAACTTTAATTACTCTTGAAATTTTTCAAATTATTTACATTAATTTTTGAAGTTAGTGCAGAATCTTTCATCTTACTGCTTATAGATGATTTAAATCAATCAACAATCATTATGTTAATGTTTTAACCATTAGTAGTACAATTTTTCCCTTTTTTTTTGTTTTATTATCAAATGTTATCTTATAACCAGGGCTGTGGAGTCATGTAAAAATCTACCGACTCCGGCTAAAACACTAAAACTCCACGACTCCGACTCTGACTCCACAGCCCTGCTTATAACTAAAACAATTTCTATTTTAATATAAAATTTTAAATGTAATATTAAAATATATTTCATCAATAATAGATTTGGTGGAGGTCCATCATGCACACACCTCTATTCATGTCCAATTTGTCAAGCAGAACAGGAATGTTTAGACAGGCGAAGAAAACAGGAACATGATATATTTGTGTTGGTAAGAAATATTAAATTATTGTAATTTAAATAAAATTGATATATTTTTTTTTTTGAAAGGAAAAATTGAAAGCTTTTTAAATTATTTTTATAGTTGAATAAAGAATTTCAGAGTCAAGATAGTCCACCTGCGATATATGCAATAAGCATGAACTGGTTTAAGCAATGGGAGAACTTTGTAAGAAGTAAAGAATATGGTATGTAATATTATATAATTTATATTAAAGTAATTCAAAGTTAGTGTAGTATTTTTATAGTTTATTTAAAAGACAAATCAAAATAAACTATCAAAATATATCATTTAGCTAAATCTGTCTTTTGCAATCTAATCATTTGATGTAAATATTATCGCCATCAAAAAAGATTGAAATTTATTTATAACTTCATCTATGCAGTCTGCTTTATTTCTACAACTTAGTTAATTTTCTTTAATTTTGGGAATCTTTCTTAACCATTCTATTCATTTCAACTACCATACACTTTTATTAATTGAAGTTCGATAATTTTGAATTTCGGATGTTATACTGTCATCGTTAAAGATAGGATCATTACATAGAATTTATTTTTGTTTAAATTAATATAATTATATGCTACTAATGACATTAAGATTCAGGCCAATTTTTGCTGTCCTTATAAAGGGGAGAGTCAGGAGGAGAGGGAAATAAGTTGGGAGACGATAGTATGAGTTTATATGACTTTATATGAACATATAGGTATTATTAACAATAGTTTTGGAGCTACAGCTGTTTGAAAATGTTCACATACACAACAATAATGAATGATACACATATTCACAAAAACACAAGTTTACAATTTGTGTCTGAAGATGACGTGTCATTTCTTTGAGACACTCAACAATGACTGTATCTGTTAACAAGTTTGAGTCACATCACAGCATCTTCTAGAAGCAGATGTTGGATACACTGGTAATGATAGAGATTTAAGCCAAAGCAATGTAAAGTTCAATTGCAGAGCGTATTGTGGTTCACAGTTAAACTTTTCAGCATTTGTGAACGTGTAAATATAATACATGTATCATTCATTATTACTATATACTGTATATGAGCAACTTTAATCTCATTCCTCATCAACCACCACCCATTGTGGGCTTGGTCAATGAATATGATTACAAGGGCTTAGAGTCCACATGTTGGAAAATCAACATTTATAGAGTATTTCAGTGTTTTTTCGATCCAAGCACTCACATACACCACACTGTACAGTATAACTTTGCCATTACACATTTACATTGGTGTATGCCTAGCTTTGCTTTCACTGATCAATACAATCAAAATTACCTTCATTTCTTTAGCAAGGTCATATTTGATGTTCTACAAGGCTAAACAAATTAGTTGTAGACAGTGCTGTTTCTCTAAAAAAACACTGCTGATATTATGAACCAAGTTATTGATACCTTTTAAGCTATCTGCCAGCATGGCACACCAGTGTATTCAGGCTGAATATTAGCCCTGATCTTAGGCCTTCCTTAGACCTATTTGGGATAAGCTACTGTATCAAAATTTTAAATAATAATTTAAAACAAGTCCTCAGTTCTGTTTAGTTGTTGTCTACTAAGCACAATACTTTAATACATGCCAGTCTGAATACCTGACACCCAAATTTGCTTTTTTTACAATTTATACAAAGTGTGCTGACAGCTCACTACAAAAATTTTCTTCCTACCAAACATGAACTCACATTTAAGTTGCGACAAGTTATTTTTGGTTCATGATGGTGTATACAAGGAAACAAAACAATACTCTTGGCATCATCAGTTACTGATATACATGTAAATTGAAATTTTTCTGGTTTTTGCTTCATTTGCTTTGGTATTCAATCAAAATGTTTAAGACACTTGCACCCAGTTGTAGTATCCTGCTAAAGTTTGCAAGTTACAAGTTTTATTTGTATAGAAATTTGACTTGCAGTCTTCACATTGCTGTATTTACCCAATGTGCAAATGATGATTATTAAAGTTATGTAAATATAAGGAAGATGGTATGACTTAATTATTGACACTTGTCACATTTTAATGTATATCTTCTTCATTTTGATGTGCAGCATAATATTTCCAGAACATTGACCATCATTGTCCTAGAAATGTAATATCATTTTGTTTTCTTCCTAGTAAACTTGATAAAAAAGTAAGTTTAAATTTTATATTTTATAATGCTAAAGTATTTATTGAATCACAAAAACACATTAAGTACAATGTATCTCACCCTCTCTCTTTCTGTTTATAAAAAGTTGTATTGTTTCCTAGATTTTTATCACTTTGTTAAATATTTCAGATAATTCAATCATTAAATTAATCAAAATTTTTTCTGGATCCTTTGAAATTTGTAAAAACGAGTTTATCATATATTAATTAATACAATTAGCTTAATATCACATTAAAAGCATTAATGTCCAGATTATAGTTAGTTAATATATTTATTAATGCCAATTACTCTATTAAACAATCATATTTAACAAATAAAATTTTTAATAGTTGAACTTGATTTTTGTATTAGGTCTTACATTGAATTTATCATTCACAAATATTTATTTGCACCAGTAATTTTTTCAACTAAACTTTATTAAATAAATGTATAAATTTTTCTATGTGTAAATTTGAGTTGACATTTTGTAATTTTGATATTGTAATTTTCAACATTGGAGATATTGCACAGTGAGGGAAATGTGGACATACTTTATTCTCTTGCCAAAATAAGTACCAAAATCAATAATGGCATAAATAACTGTCCCACAATATTCAACATTTTCTTCTGTTTTCCTCAAGTTGTTCTATAGCAGGTAATTCTATTCAAACTAAAACAAACTTACATGACCACTCTTGCACGATACATTTATTTTTTTTGTAATAAACTGTAATCAAAGAAACAAGTTATTTCTTACAATGTCTTTTACCAGATTACAATCTGCTACAATTTATTAAAAACACTTAATCAATTATTTAATTAAAATTCAAAATTTGAATTCATAAAAACAAAGGATTTAAAGTTATAGAATTAGACATTCATATATATGACTTAAAGTTCTTGGGAAGAGCCTTGTTACATCTGTATTGTTGAAATATATTTCAAGTTTCACTGTTGTTGAACTCAAATTGACAAAGGAACCATCCAAACCATCCAGGCTTGACACTAGCATCCATCAATACAACAATTATGAATAATGGAAGTGGGCAAAATTTTAATCCCAAAGTCTAATAGATTTTTGAGATAAACATCATCAAATATTACATTTAAAAAACCGTAGTAAAGCTGTTTAGTTGTAAACTACAACACTTGACACATGTAATGTTGTGACAGCATGAGCATAATAGAAAGATTCTTCACAACAAACACATACTATAAATGAGTAAATGGTACAACCTGCATGGGCACAATTGTCATTACCACTATTGTGGTAATGGGCTGAAGTTTGGAAGGGATCTGGATTAACCTCAAGAATTTGAGGTTAATCCAGATCCCTTCCCAAATTCCAAAAACTTCAATCTTGTAGAATGCATACTTGAACATGCTTCTGAATTTTTCAGCAGAGAACTAAAAGTGATTGTAACTTGATGAAAGTTTGTGCAATTCCAGATTTCATACTCAAGTACAAACATTAAAGCCATATCTGTAAAGTCTTAAGCAGTAATATTAATATTATTATTATATTTATTGTTGAAATGAAGTTATCCAAAAGATTGCCCATCCAACGTATGAATCAAATTGAATAAAATATTTTTCAGGCAGTGGTATCAGTGGAGATTATAACTATGAAGTAGCTGCATCTTCTCTCTTTCTTTGTCTTCAGGCCTGAAATTCTGCATATGTCTTCCACTTTCCCTCTTTTGTCAGAACTTCATCCTCCAACTCCAGTGTAAAGTCTTGATAATCCCTTGTGAGGAAGAAGTTCATCCAGAATGAACTTAAATGCATTTCAGTAATATTGAAGTAGTAAGGTTCTTCCAATGAACCATGCATTGATACTTCCAATGAACTTTGACCTCTGTAAACTGATTTTGTGGATAGTTTTTAGTTCTTCCATTAGCATGAATTTAAATTTTATTAATTAATTAATTTCTAAGTTTTCCTATTAACACGCAAAAATTTTTTATGCTGTTTTGTTATAATTGGGTCAGTGGTTATCCTTTACCAAACACATCGGTTCTTGTCAGATTGCCAATTTTAAACAGTGAGAAGCCTAACAATTCTGGTTGGAGAAAACATGGAAATATATTATGATGTTGTTGTCTAAACACACCAAGTACCTGGTGACTCTGGCCAGTCCCAAGTCTAATAGGTGACAGGAAAGGTTATCCAGCCATAAAATGAAGTCTTATCAGAAAAAAAAATTGATTCTACACCTGTAGAAAGTGGTATTAACAATGCTGAAGAATGCAAAAGACAGAAAATGTCAGNAGCTTTCATCTCTGTTTTAATTTCTTGTAGTTCAATATGAAGCTATAGGAATTTATCTTATAGTAGCTCATAAATCTATTTTAAAGTATATTGCGGCACTTCCTGTACCTGTGACTCAGTATCTCTTGATGCTTCGAAGTAATCATAAATTTTCATAGATCTTTCACATTAACTAGTTTGTCTATTTCATATTCCAATATACCTTTTAATTGGGAGTTATTCTTGGAAGTTTCCTCTAATTCTTCTACTTTTTGAGAGAGTTTTGTTAACTCTCCATGAAAATGTTGATTTTCCTCCTTTAGAGCTTTGATCTCTGTTTTAATTTCTTGTAGTTCAATATGAAGCTATAGGAATTTATCTTATAGTAGCTCATAAATCTATTTTAAAGTATATTGCGGCACTTCCTGTACCTGTGACTCAGTATCTCTTGATGCTTCGAAGTAATCATAAATTTTCATAGATCTTTCACATTAACTAGTTTGTCTATTTCATATTCCAATATACCTTTTAATTGGGAGTTATTCTTGGAAGTTTCCTCTAATTCTTCTACTTTTTGAGAGAGTTTTGTTAACTCTCCATGAAAATGTTGATTTTCCTCCTTTAGAGCTTTGATCTCTGTTTTAATTTCTTGTAGTTCAATATGAAGCTATAGGAATTTATCTTATAGTAGCTCATAAATCTATTTTAAAGTATATTGCGGCACTTCCTGTACCTGTGACTCAGTATCTCTTGATGCTTCGAAGTAATCATAAATTTTCATAGATCTATAACCTCATAGATCTTGAGGTTATAGGACTACTTTTGTTAAAAACTTCTTCTAATTGATGATAATCTTCACTAGTTGTATCACTCTATTGCCTTTCTTTTTCCTTTTCCTTGAGATTATTCTTGCAAGGTCTATCTTGCTCCCTTCTTTGCATATCTTCTTGGCACATCTGTTGTGGAGATTGAGGCAAAGGACCCAGATTGGACTCAATTTTGGTGATTATTAATAAACACACAATCAAAACCCGAGATAAGCTATTAACAAATGTCCAATACTTTAGATCTGGCATAATTCGACTTATGGCTTTCCAATTCACTCGAAAACTCAATTATCAAGCTACAAAACTTCACCTGTACCTCTGGTGGCTAGTGCACACCTCCTAACTTCTATATAAGAATGCACATTCATGTACATTTACAACACAAAATCTGTATCAAAAACACACACACATACACTTTTTACAAACTACTACCAGCACAAATTTTTAATAGACATTAGATAAATGGAAGATGACAACGTTTTTGGACATTTCAGTGATCTTTGACAGGTTAGACTAGGCATGGCCAATATACGGTCCGTCTAATAAATTTATGCGGCCTGTGATTAATCTTTCAATATTAGCTACTCAAGTCCAAGTAGCTCGATGAAAAATTCTGATGCTTTAAAAAAAAAAAAAAAAAAAAGTCAACAACTCACTGTGCATTCAGAGTTTTTCCAAACCTCTTAAGTACAACGTAGAATGTTGATAAAGCATGATAATGTGAAAAATGTATCTGTAATCTCTATCTACAGTTCAGTCTCTACGGGGTGACAACACAATGAGATCTCACACCACCTCAAAATCTTTCTAGGGCAGCCTCTGGTTTGGCCCGTGAAAGAAGTTTTCTTTCCAATTCAGCCAAGAGGCAAAAACTGTTGGCCACCCCTAGGTTAGACAATCTTTTTGAAACTTTAAATGAATTTATATGTTCAACAAAAGTTCTTTTATCATTTCAAGCTCATTTAAAGTTTCAAAAAAGATTTTGTAACCTGAAGAGGGCTAAAAACGTTTGTCATCTTTAGTTTATCTTATGTCCTATTAAAAATTTGTGCTGGTAATAATGTGTAAAAGTGTCTGTGTTTTGAACTACTCCAGCTTTTGGGAGCTGTCTTCATAATTTATATCAAATTGTTAAGAAGATTAAATTAAACGTTACATTGCCTAATCCAATTGGAAAAATTGTATGTGTTGTTGGTTATGCGATGGTCTTTTTTTGTAATCCTCCTAAACTAAGTATAGTGTATTCTAGTCTTCACGTGCTAGAAGACTAGTTTTTTTTGTTTTTGTGTTCATGTATTAAAATGTATAAGAAATAACTGGATTAGCCAAAAGAATACTAATCATTAATGCATATATTTTCCTGATTTTGATGATGATAACCTCTGTAAAATTTATTCACCTTTATTTGGAACATTAAAAGATTGCATAAACAAAGAATATAATAATAACTGTGACCATATTTTAGTAAAAGTGTTATGTTCATGCAACATTGCTCATTGCATGAATTGTATTACAAATATTTAACAAATGTGGAACAGCAAAACTTTTAAACTTGGAAAGAAACATGTCCTTTCACATTATAAAAGAACTGCAGAATTTTTCAGGATAATTTGTCATTAGCAGATTATTATTAATATACACAAAGGAACATGTTTTAACAACTTGCATAAAGAATTAGTAGGATTTGCAGAGGATGATGAAAACATTTTATCTTCATACGAACCTAAACTTAGTTCAAGGAAAGACAGACATACGGACAACAGTGGGAATTTATAGGTCTACAATTTTTTAGTAGGTAAATATTACATTCAAGAAGTTCTGAAACATTATTTTTTTCTAGGTACAGTTCAGACTGATGTCTTAGAAGTTTGCTTTGGTAATTATAGGCCAGTTACTTGGATCTCAATATTCTCTTTATAAGAAAGTTTTTGAGTCAGAATCTAAACTCAAAATGCAGCTTTTTCTTCAATTGAATGAGATTATCTTCAAATACATACAGCAACACAATTGTAGCTAATTTTGAATGAAAATTGTATTTTTGATCCATTTACCTATACATTGGACAACAAAATGCTTTTCCCAAATTATTATGAATAATAATAAAATAAGTTAGATAAACCTATAATTCCAATTTTAACTGGATATTATATTTATTCTAATATCAGAAGTAAGAGTTGTGATTCTTATAAACAAAATGCTGTTTATCCAAAACATCTGAATATAAAAACACTTTTTCTTTAGTTGTTATAGTCCAAGAGATCCTATAACTCATATCATCATGGAGTAGTTAAATTTTATTTGATTTTGTTATTAAAATTGATTCCACTAATGTATTTTTAGGATCAGATTATGGTTCTCTGTCAGAAGAAATGTGGATATTTCTGCACAATATTTATGGAGGAGGTCCCGAAGTATTCCTACAAAATGTATCTTGTGTAACCATGAATAATCCCAATTCTCAGTCCAGTGGAATTCATGCTTCTAACAGTTCATCGTCTACTCGTATCAGTTCACAATCAGGAGGAGTATCTTCGTCCTTGTCCTGCAATCCGAAACCATCCTCAAACATTTCTAGTCATAATTATTCATCTAATATTTCAGGTATATTTTCAAAAACAATAATAAAATTAATCATTGTCATTATGCTAGAAGTTTTTTAATTTATACTTATTTGTTTCAGGTAAATCAAAAGCCTTGAATGAAACATTAAAAACTTTAGCTGAAGCAAAGTCATCGATAGATGCTTGCAAGAATGACGACGAAACAGAAACAGAATGACTTTCCCTCAACCCACAAACAACATTTAGGTTTAATTTTCGCAAAAAGCATTACATTATCATTTAAAGATATTTATTTTGTGTTTTGTTTCATACATTTTTATATTATTCACATTAATAACATCTACATTTTATATAATTACAATTAAATTTATGGATATACAGGGTGTAGACACAAAAGTTGCATTAGAGTATTTCTTGTTTCTGCTACATATGTAAATGAAATTACACTGGAGTATAGATAATATAGGAGGTTGGCTATTTGTCGGTTTGGATACCAAACTCCGAGACCCTCTTTTCACATAGGGACAAATCCTGTCTCGGGTCCAGTGAAGACCTATGAAAACTAACAGCCTAATAGTTAGAATCATAGTGCATCTAAAGATCAGTACAAAAATTTTAGTCCGGTTAAAATATTCAAAGGAAAAAGCTGATGGACATTGTAAAAAAAAAAGGCGAGTCCATGTGGCATGGTCTTGAGAACTTAAGATCAGTTGGAGAAGTCTCACATGGTTTCACCTTTCAGTTTTTAAGTGTATCTAGCCACTCCCCTTTGAGTACTTTAACCAGGCAAAAAACATTTTGTACTGATCCTAAGATGCTCTATGACTTTCATTTAAATCACGCTGTTATCTTTCAATATAGGATCCAATATAGGATTTGCTGTCAGAAAAGGTGATTGGGAATGCATGTTGTCTTAAACCAATAAATAGCCCACTCCAGTTACCTGTACTCCAGTGAAATTGCATTTAGTTACCACATAGTAGAGGCGAGATAGCATGGTGCAATGTTTGTGTCTATACTGTGCACATTATATTCCATTCTTGATTGATTTAATATTTAATTTTATTAAAAAAAAAAAAAAATTTACTTAGAAAAGATTAAACATTTATTTTTATCACACTAAATAAATATAAAAACTATTCTTAATTCATATACGTGTATATGAAACTGTTAATAATGTATATCTTAATATATATATATATAATATAGCTGCACTTTTTATGATTTATATAAATCATTCTATAGAAAGATACTGCCTTAAATTTATCTTTAAAGTCTAAGCAATATCTATATATATATATAATTAATGTATTAAAAAATTATTATTTTTAAACATTAATATATTCAGATTCATTTATAAAATGCTAATTCAATGCAATGTATATGAGTCCATCTAAAATCTTTCAGCAGTCCGAACCATTAAAAATCAAAAGTTGCGCTTTGCTATTTTTTTAATTTTAAATATCACAACTCCTTTTCAAAGGCTAATTATATAAACATATGTGTATATAATATATATATATTTATATTCAATAACATAGAATATGTGCTACTAGCTTGTATATTTATTTGAAACTTAATATATCACAAGTGAACCTGTACCATACAAACATATACTTTTAATATATTCTATATTTTATCTGCATACACAATCAAGAATATTTATAAGCATCTCTCTAATGTAACAAAATATATTATGCACAGATTTATGTATATTTTAATTTTCTTTACGTATGTATTAATTTAAGAAAGAAAACAAAAGATTTAGTCATAATTAAAATTGGTTCCTATCATACTACTTTGCAATAACTGAGGCTAAATCTATTGGTCTTCAAATATATGTAAATTTTTGTGTGTGGATAGTTGTGCCGACTGACATTCAGTAATAAAAACATTCTAGAACACTTTCTCATATTTGTTTTATTGTAAATATGCTCTCTACATAAACAGTACCTTTTTCTAATATTCACGCGTGCCCTAAACTTCTTTGCTCATTCCACACTTTTAGCAACTCGTCCGGATCCCCGTAACCATGCGATGCAATGACAGATGCATAGGAATCTTTCGTATAATCTTTTTTCCAAAAGTAAAAGTTTTTGTTGTGAAGTGGATCAATTTCAGCCTTTCTTGCAAGAATTCCAAGATAAATATCGTCAAACCTGAAGTTCTTTGTATACAGACTAGTATAGTATAAATCGAGCAGTGCCGGATATGACACTAAATAAGCACCTGCTGTAACGTACGGTGGGTATTTAGAATAAGGATATTCTTTTAACGATATATACCACTTGCTGATTTTATGTCTCATAGGAGGAGAGAAGAATACGTATCCAGCAAGCAATTTGCCATTATATATATCGTGCTCGTACAGTAGTCTTCTCCTTTCACCAAGTTGTATATTTAAAGGATTACGAATGAATGCCAAAACGTTTTTTGTAGAGACGTACATGTCATCGTCGGAAAAAAATATATATTGAGCTCTCGGACAATAGTGTACCACCCACTTGAAAGATAACATCGTCTTGATTGTGTTATTATAATAAGTATCAATGAAATCTGCTTGAATGATGTCATTATGTTTATTAAATTCTTCATCTATTTTGTCCTGAAGCAAAGGATCATTTGGATCAATCCCAAGAATGAATACTCTCTTAATTGTCACATCCGAAAAACGTTTTTCCCAACCCCAAGAGTTTCTTATGGCATTTCTTTGCAAAACATTCCTGAGAGCAGATTTAATTACATACAACAGTCTAACCTCGTGAAATTTCCCATCTTTAATTTTGCATTTATTTTCATTCTTTATCTTAAATCTGTAATTATATTCATTGATGGGTTTAATATCGGGCTGCATTCCATTTTTTAATTTAAAAAGAACGTCCTGAATATCAATATCTAATGGATACACAAATTTGGTATGGTAGTCCAATTCAAAAAAGTGTGTAAAAGCACCAAAGAAATCCAGCAGAAACACTAGGACAACACAAAAAACGACGTATTTTAATTTAATTTTCTTCCAGTTAAACTTAAGCTTCATTCTCTCGTTGATTTTCATTTCATCTTTGTCGTAACTAAGGAAAAAAAATTGATATATATATTAAAATTAAATCAATACATGTTTTAAATATATCATATTTTTACTGCATAGCTTTGAACTTAAGATACTTTTTCACCCACTTACAACTTTCAAATTAAAAAAAAAAAAAAACCACCTTAATTTTATGAATTTTTTGTCATCTCCAAAATGATTTTAAGACTTTTGAAAAGGACAAGCAAGCATCAAGCAACATAAGAAAGCAAAGATATTCTGAATCTAAACTTCTGTAGCTAATTAAAGATGAGAGGCACTCGTAAAATTTTCATTTAACAAGCCCATATTTCCTGTATAATTATTTTATTTTAAATACATTAAAATCAGTATTACTCATTAAAAAACTCTTTCAAACCATACTTAATTATCGTTTAATTTAAAATCTTTCAAAAGGTCGCGATTCATCTTAATTTCGAAGAAATATTATGTATAAATAATAGAGACGGATGAATTCTATCTGCAAATATCCAATATTTCAGATCTCAAATAATTTCTAGTATTTATGTTGATAAAAATAAATTAAAATACTAAAAATACCTCCAATAACATTCCTTATGTAGGTACAATCGTAGATATGGATCCAGAAGTACCCAAAATGGAATAACTCGCTTATTAACTATTCAAATATTTTTAATTTTTAACACGTGCACAAACATTGTATTGTAGACGGTCTAATAAACCATATCAACTGTATCCGCCATTGTGTGCAGACAGAGTGCGTCTCTGGCATCCATGGTTTAATTTGTGAGAAGAAAAGAAGCAGACTAGATTCTGAACATTACCAAATTTTTGTTTTCTTAAATAAAAATCTGCAGTAGGGTGAGAATGAGAACAATTATTTATTAATTTATTATTGTTGAGATAAGATTATCTACAAAAGGCTACTTTATAAGCCAAAATTAAAAGTTTGAAGTTTCATTTCTTAAATTGTTTTTCTTTTATTTGTTTTATTTATTTCAATACATTAGTGTACTTAGTTATCTTAGATATACATTAACTTTAAGTATTTATAAGTGGAATTTCGAAAAAAAAGTTTTTATTTGCCAGCTGAATATCATGTAAAAATTGCAAGAACAAAATGTTTTTATGTCCATCAAAGGATTTATGATTTATAATGTAAGGTTTGATGCTCTAATGCAGTGATTTTCAATCGATGTGCCACGAGAGGATCCTAGGTGTGTCGTGAACATTTTTGAAGGTTATTAAACAAATTATTTTCGAAAGGAGCCTGAAGAACAATAAGTGTACGTGTCAAAATAAAAACATCTTTATACGAGTTTAAATTGATTATATATTATAACGATGAAAAACGTATACATAATGTAGTAGAAAATATATATTCGTAAGCAAAATTATATGTTCATAACACCGGGTTAGTTCATTTAAAATGAAATTTTCTTTTAATTGAAAACGTATCCATAATTGCCCATATTTAGTTCAAATTATTTTAACTTAGAAATAGTGGTACATTAAGCAGGTTTATAAACGCAATTATTATGTCACTTTTAAATGCATATTAAGACTTAATTGCTTTTCTTATGTAAATGAAAATTAACATTATTAATTTAAATAACTATTGTTGTAACCTGCTGCTATTTTAAAGAAGCACAATACTGTTTTTTTAAATTCACAAAAATATAGACAAAAAGAATTAGGTTAAGTGGCAAGTAATGTGACGATAGAATGTTTACAAACACAACTTTAAATCGCATGATTTATTCCGAGGAAATTTTTTGCCGTGGAAATTTAATTATAGTTTCAAGTGTGTCATGAGATAAAAAAGGTTGAAAAACACTGCTCTAACAGAATCCATATCCTTTGATAACATGCTAAATGCTCTTTTTTTTTTTAGGAGCATTTGTTACTAATAAAGAACTTCCATCATTAATAATAATAAAACAAACGAGACTGATCACTCGGCATAATATATCATATAAACAAATGAACACAGAACTTGCAAGAAGTTTAATGATGCCGTAAACCAATGGTATTAAAAAAGTCAATCTGTGGCATCAACGAGTCAAATTCCTTGTACTATTAAAGTTCTATTTTTGTTCACTAACTTTAAAAAAATTTAACATAATTTATAGACATTATTTATCTTGTCGTTCTCATTGTGACACTTTTCATAAGGCCTGAAATATCATGTTAGTTTTGAATTATCTAGGATGGAAATTTATTATATGATATGTTTAGGTGTAAGCAGTTTAGGTAAGTATACAAAACAGATTTTATCATTGTTTTATTTAACTGTTTGTCACCTAGATCAATGATTTTCAAAGTATAATCTGTAAACTTAATTTATTCTAAATTTAAAAACTTAACTTAAACAAAAAAAACAAACTTTTAAACAATTGTATAAAATGTGTTTCTCTAAATAATCTCCATTAAATTTGATAAATACAAACATCCACACCCAAAATGGAATTTAAATCTATAACCTGGCAGGTTAGATACAACAGTCTAAGAAAGTAGTCTCCAAAATGGGGAAAATGAACCCTTAGAACATGTAATACAATTCACAAGGGAATGCAAATCAAAAATAGACCCGGGATCAACTCTTTTACAGTGATTTTCAATTTATCTATTTATAAAGGGATGTTACGTCAACTTGATATAGATATTAGTTTCTATAGCTCTCTGGATCAGCATACTTAATTTAGGCAATAAAATAGAGATTAAAACTTTTAAATACACTTTACACCAGATGATATATAAAACACACTATAAACCTATTGTCTGGTCTTGATAACATATATACTGCAAGAACGTTTTCAGGCTCCTCTGGAGTCCTGCTTCAGGTGAAACTCGCTGTTTCATTGATGGAACACAATCCAAAAATAAAAATTCAAATGTTGATTAAAAAATAAACTTTGGTTTTTAACAGACATTGGATGACAATTGCCTCCTCTGATGGATACACACAACATAAAATTTCAATTCTTTACTAACTCTTAGTTTTCCAACAAAACTTAAATTTGTTATTTATTTATTCAAAGATGCTGGAAAACTGCTAATGTGGTAAAAATCTATACAGAATTATTTTATTATAACCTCAAATCTCAAAAAATTTAGTGTTTAAAAAGTCTTGTGAATAGATAACATGCAGAATACCATAAAGTTCTTACTGATACTATAGTAAAGTTCACCCTAACTTTGGACCACTGTGAAAACTATGTACACTATAGTATAGTACCACTGAACACTAATAAGTAATTCACAACAAAATATAGTCTGAACGTAAGATGTTATACCCTTAACTACCCTTACAAAATTATTATTATATATTATAATAATGTGAGATCCGTGATTTTTACGCAGATGTCGAAAAAAAAACTTTTCTAAACAACTCCGATGAAAAAAACACTCTTGGTGAGAATTATATCAGAGGTCACCGATTGTTTTCACAATTAGGTGGGAAAGTTGACACTTTAGTTGATTGGAATGCAATCCTTTCCTACGAAGAACGTATAAAAGCACGAGCCCCGGAAGCTCAGGGCGACCAAAAGAAGTTATACTTATTAATGTGTGCATCTTGTGTCTATACACTGGACAGAGCAACTGAAAGGACATCACCATACGCAAGACAACAACTTTAAACTTCCATTGCCATTCTACCGTTCCTGCGCCAACTATGATTCCTACGGCCCATTCAACAAACGCATATTAGTCATATCCTCATAGAGGTATTTCTATTTTAGAGCTTTGTGAACTCTCTCTTTCAGAATAGCCGTTAAAGCTGTTAAGAGTGACCCTTGTATAGTTAATGCGTATTTAACCGCATTTAACCTATATTTTGTTATCGCCTTATGTATCCTAGCTTAGCTATTCAATAAATGTTTTGTTATTTTGTTTAACCTGTCGTCTATCGTAGTACCCACCAACTTACCTATGTACTCCCCGCTCAACTTGCCCTTCTAAACCATCTGACAATCAGAGATCTGGTTTTACCAACCTGTTGCAGTGTAAGTGGTCAGAAGGGAGTAACCCCTGACCCTCTGCTTATCTCACAATAATAAATGTGTTAAAAGGTTGCTTAGCTTTGGCAATAGTCCAAAATTATGGTGAATCGAACTATAGTTTGAACTTATATAAATACTCCATATATTCTCCACACAAATTTTAATATCCAGAAAAACACAAAAAAGATTATTATGAAATATATCAGTGAGAAAGGTTTTTCATTTCAAAATCTAAAAAGAACAATGTTGGGTAAGGTGCAATGCTGTAGTTGTGCCAGGGCATACTAGTGTGGTGTCCTTGTACTTTGCTTTTCTAAGCAGAGTGAAGCCCTCCTACCTTATGAATAACTAGGTTGGACTATATGTAGCTTGGCCAAAAAAACTTATCCCATAGACAGTGGCGATTCAAACTCAAGGTGTTAGTTAGTGCTCCAGTATTTTTTAATTTACAACTACATCCCTGGCAAGGTGGAGTTCAGAAATATTCTTTCACATGTTTTCACACATCCCTAAAGAGTTATAAAAGTCTGGATATTGAGAAAGTCATGCTATATTGGATCTGCATCTGACCTGTCATCAAGATATTCTGTAACAGGGAAACCAAAAACAGAATAACGTACATAAACTGTGGCCATTCTGTAGAATGAACATACTTTAATAATTTTAAAAAAATCAAAAATTGCTATTCAACATCTAATTATTCATTTTGACTCTTTTTACCCCAAGGATACTAAGAGAATCTTTAATCACATCCTCCTTGGATTCAGCCAAGACAACAATGGAGGTGGCCAGATCTTAAATGATAGGGCTTAACACTATCCACAATAAGCCAGCATATAAAAAAATTAACCAAAGGTTAAGCTTGAGTCCCTTGTGGTTGATATGTCAGATTAATGCCTTACACCAAGGATGATGATGTTTTACACCAAGGAGATGTCGTCCCAGTATCTTTCAAACACTTCAGTTTAAATGTACAGTACATTTGATATGTAAGGCAGATTGTTAGAAGGCAGAGATG